TGGGCTCAGGGGAGGAGCTGTCCTCCAGAAAGTCTAGATGGTAGATGGGGTGGAGGCCGGAGTGTCACTGCTCAGTCTGTCCCCTCCCCTGCCCTTGCTTTCTGTCCTAGTACCTGGGTCTCCAAATCTGACACCTGAAAATCAAGCTCTGCCCAGCCCACACCCATCCTGGACTCAACATTTCCTGGGTGCCATCACCCTGAGGTGCATCGATGAGCTACTGCCCTGCAGGACGTGAGGTGGCTGAGGGGCGGGAGCAGACACACAGCAGCCAAGGAGCCAGGCTGCCACTGCGCTGTGACTTTGGAGTCCCTCAGCCCCGTGTCGGCTATCTCTGATTATCTGTCTCTCCCGGCGCCCTTTCCTGCCTAAGGTACCCCACACGGTAGCCCTTGTCTCCCCCACCAACTGTGTTCCTGGGCCTCTCCACCCTGCGCCAAGCATGGAATGGTCACAGAAAATAGGGGCCCTCAGTTTGGGCTGGGGTAGGGGCTGTCCCTGGAGCCTGGTGGCCTCCTGGAGATGAGGGGCAGCTGACAGGCCAGCCTTATGAGGGAAGGTGCTCGCTCCACCTAGAGGCTGCTCCCTGCTCCCCCTTCTCAGCGTTTCAGGGACCTTCCTACATGGGGCAGGGAGCCCTGGCATCCCCAGCTACTCTCCCCGCTTCCCTGGGAAAGGGGAGGGAGGAGATGGAAGCGTATTAATAAAAGAATAAGATACTGCAACGAACTCCGCAGAGTGCGGCTCAGAATAGCAATGTGCTTTCTCAAGGCAAACAGAACTCCCCAGGTGTTAATGCAAATTCACTCCAGTTAAGATGAAAGGGGGCTGTTCTCCCTTTGCTGGTTAATACGAAGGACTTAATAGATTCAGCCACAGGAACGACGGCTGGGAGGGGAAGGCTGGGGGGCGGATCGAGCACGAGCAACAAGGGAGGTCCCGTGGGTTTCAGGACAGAGCCACTGTCACAGCACGCCTGGCTGATGGCGCAGCACGTGTCACCCCATCCGTCCCCCACCTGGGCTGCCACGGGCTGGGCCCCCTGCGCAGAGGAGGCAGCAGGAAGCCAGGAGTGGCGATGCCACCTGCCTGTCCTGTTGTCCACTGCCCTTCGCATTAACTCAGTGTCTGCCACCACAATTGCCACTCCCCAATCCACGCGGGAGGCATGTGGGGCTCAGACAAGGGGCGGGGTGAGGCTGGCTGTGCAGGCAGGGCACCTGCTTCTAGTCCAGCTGGTGTCTGTGGTCACCCCTGTGGGTCCGTCCGTCCCCTTTTGACTCCTTGGACAGTGGCACTGGTTTGACACTGCCTGGGAGACCAGCCTGAGGAATTTGTTTAGAAACATGACAAGCAGACTGTTGGAACAGGAAGGGGCCCCAGAGTCCCTCCGGTCCAAAACTGACCCTGTACAGTGGAGGACACAGAAGCCCAGAGAGTGGAAGGGACTCACTCCAGGCCACGCAGCTGGGAGCAGAGGGGGTGGGACCAGAAGCCGTGCTTGCCCTCCTGAAGGGCAGGCTGGAAGCCTGAGTGGCTGTCTGTGGGACGCAGTCCGGGGTGGGGTTGCCCTGCCTGCCACCGAGCCCCTTCCTCCCACGTGGGGAGCCCTTCTCCAGCCCAGGGCCCCCGGGCTCAGTAGCTGATCCCAGAATCATCCTCCACTGAAAATTACAGAAGGCGCAAGCTGGGCTGTTGTCGGAGCGGGTAGGGGGACACCGCGCACAGGCTGGGCTGCGGCAAGAGTATGCCGGGATCCCGGGAAGGTGTCTCGGGCCTCAGCTGGGGATAAAGGGAGACTTTGGGGGAGGGCGGGTGGGAGTGAGTTCGTCCCCACGGGTCCACTTCACTTGTCTGAATTTAACTCCTCTCTCTCAGGGCAAAAGCACAGCAGGTGCCGGCAAGGAGCAAGGAGCCGCCTCCGCAGACTCCTTCACTTTTGTTTACTGACTTAATTCCTTCAGATCAAAGGCTGCCCCTTCCTCCCCTAGCAGGCAGGCTGGGAATTACATTATTTATATTGGAAATGGGCAAGACTCCATGGGGACTTCTTCCTTATGCCTGTTAAGATAAAATTAGGTCACTGCTGTGCCTCCCTGGTGTCCGCAGTTGGGTTTTTATGGCCCAGGTACCCACGGGCTTTGGGAAGAGTTCCAGGTGCAGGGCCGAGCGCTACCCACCCAGCTCCTCTCCCACCGGAGCCTCCAGTAAATTATTGACCGGAGCATTGAGTATTAATGTGACGAAGCAGAACATCCTTCCCAGGCAGCACCAGCCTGGGTTATCTATCATCTCCCGGGCTTTGCAGCTGGCACTGGGCAAACACAGCAAGGACAAACAGGCCAGATGCAGGTTCATTAAGCTCCTGGTGCAGGTGGAGGGATGGGGCCTGTTGCAGGGCCGCTGGTGGGCTTGGTCCCTCTGAGCCAGGGCTTCCTCTGGGTCAGCACTACTCCTTTCTCTGCTTCCTCCTGCAACCTCCCATCCCCACCCCAAGGAAGAATCTGGAAAAAGAGCTACGTTCCTCAGTCCTAGCACTATTAATCCTCACAAAGCTCCCCTTTTAGATGAAGAAACTGCTGTGCCCAAAGGTTAGGTAACTTGACTAGTATCTCGGATCACCTGGCTGGCGAGTGGCTGAATGGGTTTTGAACCTAGGTCTGTCTGAGTTCCAAGTCATTAGGGCCTGGAACCCCTCATCTACATGGTTTTCTCAGCCCCCGCCCCCATCGTTGGGTGTGAAGAAAAGATTTCATGTTTCTTTGTGCACGTTGCTTCTATTACTTTTAAGTAATGGTAATACTGCTACCTATCCTCACTCCCTTTTTCAGAGAAATTGAGTACCTTGTTGCATCTGTTCTTCACATCATCCTGGCAACATCCCAGACGTGCCCAGAGGCATCACTGTCAACGCTCTTTCCCCGGGGGAAAACAGGTTTCAGCAAGCAAAGCGTCTGGCCCTGCAGGGAAGGGGGTGGCACAGAGCACGCGTGCGGCTTAGCAGCTCGGGCAGGCGGGCTCTTGCTGCTCCGACTTTGGAGCTCTTCAGGAGATGTCTTGATTTCCTAGGCGCAGAGGCAACATGCCAGGAGCTATTCTGGGGCTAACATCCCCATGAGAAATGGGCATCTAGTGGAAACCAGGAGAGGACACAGTGGGGGTTCCTCTGAGTCATTCGGGTCCTCGTGGCGCTGATGAACGGCCCGAGCTGTCTCCCTAGAAGCGAGCTCCAGGCTCCTGCCTGAGCTGGGACTGAGGCCGCAGCATCCTGCCATAATGCAGCAATGACAGGCTGCCAAGGAGCCCCAGGAGAGGACAGGACCCCATGGTGGCCTCTCTCAGCTGCCTGGGCTGTCTGAGAAGGAGGCAGAGACTATGCGGATGGCTCGACTTTCTCTTCCCCAGACGTGTAAGAAATTGGATGATACCGTTGCAGCAATCTTCTCGCCAGTACCTTTCCCCCCAGAGTCCTCCTGCCAACTCATCGTCGTACGTGGGCGACTCCCTACCCGCTCCTCCAAAGGGAAGGCTTCTGGGGTGGGCAGCCCTGACAGCTGCCAGGCACTCTGCGCTCAGGCGCAGACCAAAGGCAAAGGAGCCAGGGCCAGGAGGGAGGCCACAGGCTGCCGCTCTGGAATTCCACCGGGCCCGGCTGCAAGCGCCACAGCTAAGCACCGAGGGCTGGCCGGTAGCTTTGGGCCTACAGAGCAGTCAAAACCAACTTGGGAAAAAAGAAGAAAAAAAGGCAGAGTAGACCTCAACCAGTCTCCCCCATACCAAAATGCCAGGTGGTATTAATTTATTAATTCTAACTCTACTTAATGGAGACTTCAGGCTCTGTATGAGCATTTACTAGCTCTTGGGGGTCAGGAGTTGGCTTTAAAAAAGTCAGGTAAAAACACTGCCTTGAACAGCTTTAAATGACCAGTATTTATGAAGTACCCTCCCTGGCTCACACACATGGGGAATCAAACTGTTTCCAATCACTGAAAACAACATAATCTGTATTTAAGAAATGAAGTAGTTTCATGTTATTATTTATCTAATAAAAATGTTCTAATTAGTTCCTAATTCTATAAATTTACAATGATGAAATGTTGTTCACCAATTTTACAGTTTTCTAATTTTACAACTTCGAACCTATCTTTCCAAATTTATAAAAACAAGACATATTTAACTCAAATTCTTGGAAGCTTTTGTGTATTTTGATGGGCTATTTTCCTTATGGGCTCATGCCGCAGGGACCTGAAATGCCTTCTGACACATGAAGGCAGCATTGGGTCCCTTAGAAGTCCCGATGACACACGGGCCACCTGCACCTCTGATTTTAGGATATGTGACTTGGGATGGGGTTATCCTACAGTAGTTTTGGTGTTAATGAAGGACTTTTATTGATGAGGAAAAAACAGAGACAAAACAAAAAACCACAAGCTCTGCAGTGTGGCTCTTAACTTTACGTGCAAATGTTGTGCGGTCCTGTGGCAATAGCTGGGCGTCACCCGTCCTGCAGACAGTGCCTGGGACCCCAGTGGCCCTGCACAACCCCCCCCCCCTCCTCCTCCAGAGCCCAGATGGGGAAACCCGGCAGCAGAAACATCTGGAGGGATCGCCCACTCCAACACCCTAGTTTTCAGGCCTGGAACTGAGGACCGGAAGTGGGTGTAGGAAGAAAACAGGCACTGGGGCCCAGTCCAGGGCTCCTTCCGCGACTCTGAGTGCCCCCCACCACCAGGAAGAAGAAAGGGAGTTCCCAGTTGAAGGTATAGTACGGGGTGCTGTCACCAGCCCAGGAAAGGCGATCCTTTTATTACAAAGACATGAGGCTGGTGCTGAAGTCCTGGGTGGGCAAGGAGGGCAGAAGTCCGGTTTCCTCAAAACCTAAGACGTGACCCTGTCACCCAGAGCAATGGTCTTGCCACCTCAAGGGCCTGAGCAACAAGCAAACTGAGGAAGCCCAAGACAAACTTTTTACAGCTTAGAGTTTTTATTAAAACCATCATTTAAATTACAACAATCTCCCAAAACAGAAAATAGTATTCCAGGGTCTGGCCCTGACAGAAGATAAAACTGAAGCCCCACAGCAAGAGGTGGGGTTTGACGTCTTTGAAAAGGGACGGAGCTTCCCTGGGAGCCCACAGTCTGGCCCCGGGGCAGCTGGGAGAGGCTGCCTCCCTGCCAAGGCCGCCCCTCCAGGGCTGTGAAGCTCCAGCTCTGTCGTGGGCAACACTTAATCACCTTAGTCACTGTCTGAGGTTGTCAGCCTCTGGACTTGCCGTTTTGATTTGAAAGAGAGAGAGAGAGAGAGAGAAACCTGCCCCCAAGAATACAAAAGGCAGTCACTTAAGAAGTGTTATGTAATGCCACGGGTGTGTCTCGCAGGGCCTCGTGGGTACATGAATAATTGAGGCGGTACCACAGGTCGGAGCGTTGCTGTGGCTGAGGCAGGGCCTCAGTCAGGATGAACAAGGTGGTTTGTGTGGGACAGCTGGTGCTGACGGCGCAGCCTCACGGAGTGTCACGGCTGGGCAGCGACTTCATGAATGGCACGTTTGCCTGAGAACCTCGGAAGTGCTTATAATGAAATAATCATGGCCGGAGCCCTGCTCTCAGTGGAGAGAGAGGCTTCCTTACTTGATAGGCTCCCAGTCCTAAAAATGTTCACTTAAAAAGAACACAGGCACAAGTATGTGAAAACCAACCTCCTCTTTCCTCCTTTCTCCTTCTCCTGGGGCTCGAGGCCTGGCTGAAGGCCCTGTCCTCCCCGCCCACCCGTCTTTGGCAGGCGTCCGCCGGCTCTCACCTCCCAGGAGGGCCCTGTGTTCCTTGCTGGGCAAGGCCCTGCCGGCCCCCGGGTCTGCTCCGCAGTCCCTGCTACAGCTCCAGACACCAGCCTGGCTTTCTCGTGGCCACACAGCTTGGCACTTCCCAGACTTCAGACATACAGACGGCAGTTAAATAATAGTTTTTAAAAAGCCTGACGATGTTTTTATAAACCACCACCATGCGCCTGTGCCCACAGCCAGTTACGGATGAAATGTACAGGTCAGGAGGGAAGTGATGCTCCTGGAGACTCAGAAATGAGTGAGCCCAGGAAACAGAGCCCCAGCGTGAGAGCCAGACCTCACATTACAAATGAGGACGTCCCTGTCTCCAGGGACGAGGCCTTTGAGGGACAGGGAGACACAAAGGAACTCGTTCAGCCACAGCCATCCATGCTTAGTGTCCAGATGTGGAGTCCTATCCTGCGTGTCCTAAAGGGGCTGGGGTGAAACACAGGGCTGGCTTCCTTGGGGCAAGGTGGCCCAAGAAGGTGGCAGGCTGCCCAGGACATCGCTCGGTCAGCCTGGCCATAGAAAAAAGGCAGGCTCTCTGTGAGCGTGTCAGTTTCAAACCACACAGGACTGATTGCCAGAGACCACGTGAGCTCTCGGAATCGCTCCTGGCCCTCACGTGTCAGAGCCTTTTCCCTGGTTAAGGCTTATCACCTGCTCTGAGGAGCAGCCCCACTGGCAGGACCTGAACGGCTCAGTGGGTCACAGCAGCACCACCAAGCCACAGAACAAAGAAAGGGCAAGAAAGTGGCCCCACACCAAGGAGCCAGTGTGGGCCACAGGGGTGGTCTACGACCTGCTGCCCGGTGTGGGTGGGTAGTCGCATGCCAGCTGGCTCTGGGAGGGGCGCAAAGGGACCCTGTATGGCCCATGAGGGAACATAAAATAAAGGGCCCTCCGGGGGACAAGGGCAACAGCAAAAGGAGGCCCGGGGACAACAATGGGCTAGGGCGGGCTGGCTGGCAGGCGGCCAGGGGGAAAGGTGACTCGGGTCCGCGAGGCAGCCTGGGGCGAGCTCAGCGTTTGGGCCGCTGAGAAGCATCTGTGGAGCCCCAGAGCCCTAGGTCATGGCGGGGCTACCGGGTGCTGACTGGAGCACCCCCAGGGGGTCCCCCAGCTTCCCCAGCAGGAGGGGCTGAGGCCAAAGCAGGGCAAAAAAGACAAGTGGCTCCCACCTGCCCCTCAGACCCTGGTTTGGGGAGGCAGGAGAAGGAGCAGCACGTATTCTGTAGGGTGCAGGTTCCTACACGGTGACCTCTGCTGGCAGCCAGCCCATTGTCGCAGCTTCTGCCATGTCTCCCACTCATGGTGGCCTTTCCCGCTCCAGACCACCTGGCAGCCAGAGCCTGCTGTAGGGGTGCCTGGGCTGCGGGCGAGCTCGCCGATGAGTGCAGCAGGCAGGCCGCTGTGGGCCCGGGCTCGGGTGGGCCATGCCCCTTAGGCCAGTTCCTCACCAGTGGAGGAAACGAGCCTTCTGGAAACCCGGGAGTGGGGGTTGTGGCACCAGCCTCTTGGTCTCCAGGGGGCTGTGCACTTCACTCCCTGCAACCACTGCCCAGCCTGGGCTGGGAGGTCAGCACTGAACAGTAACACACACACACACATCAGGGTGTGTCTGATGAAGTATGGGATCACACATTAGACAAGAAAACACAAACACTTCTTAAGGACTTTAAAGACTTAGGTCAGGAGAACTAAAACCCTCTGAGAAAAATCTCTGCAGGGTCACAGTTCAAGGCAATTGCACGTGAAGGGGGTTGGGCTCTCCACGCAGCTGGGGAGAGTTCTGGAGCTCCCACGGAAGCTCCCAGCCAGCCCACCTGCGGGTGGCTCCCATGGTGTCTGACCCATCCTGCCGGAGCTGGGAGCAGCAGAGGTGGTAGATCCTGGGGTGGCGGAGTCACCTGCTAGAGCTCTTCAAAGAAGGCCACTCGGGACTTGGCGCTCTGCAATGTGAGCTGCAAGGAAGCAGAGCAGAAGTTGAAAGGGGGACTAGAGTTCTGCCCTTCGCTACAGGAAGCCATTCTGCCTTGCGGACCAGCCTCAAAGGTGGTTTGCAGTGAAAGGGACGATGGTTCAAGTAGATGTTCAAGGAGCTGGTGGTCAATCCCAGATAAGATTCCAGAGTTGCCCAAGAACTCAAATTAGGAGGTGACAAATGAGGACATGCCAGGAGAAACAGCTGGTGGACAGAAGCACGTCAGCAGAAAGATGTCATCAACGTCGCCTTTTCAGGGGGCAGGGGGTCCCTAGACACTTTAATGGGTGCGCACATCCCTGTCCACAGGAGGCTCTCTGGGGCCCTGCGGCATGCCGTCTGCGGTGGCGCTAGCCTGGGATGCTCACCCTCTCCAGGGCTCAGCGTCTCAGACCTCACATCCTGGGGACAAGCTGGAGCAAGGAGATGGCGTCAGGCAAGGCAGGCCTGCATCAGATGAGGAAGAGCTTGTCCCTTCCACTCCTGGTTCTCAGGTGGCCCCAAAGTGGACTTGCCCATGACCTGGCTGCTAAGAGGGGTTTCCACCCACAATCTGGGAGGCAATGGGCTTTTGAGGTGGGGCTGGTTCAGGCAGAGAAGATGGTGCACACAAGGCAGCGCTCTGCCAAGAAACTGAAAACCTCCCCAGGAATGAGCTCTCTGTGTAGCGGATAAAGCACTGGAGCCTGCGACCCCCTGCACCGCTGAACCCCGGTTCCCTGCCTCTGCAGGCCACTTCCCAGGGTCTCTCCAAACAGAAGCATCTGGCACAGGCAACCACCCTGTGCCCCACTCCCTGCTCTGCTCCTGAAATCAGTTCCTTGGCCAAGATTGGGTGTCCCCCTATCCAGCTCTGGGACTCCACAGAGGAGGGTTTTCCGGGAGGAAGGATGCGGATGCATGCTGTTCATCTTTATATTCCCCCAAACCCTGTACATTACACCAGTGCTTTGCACTTTGTAGGAACTCAGACAATGTTTGTTGAGTGAATAAGATGCCGGCTGTGATGATAAGGAAAGGTGAGGTGTGTGGGAGAAGGTGAGCGCTCCACATGGCACTGAGAAGGCCTGACTGCTAATTTCCCTTCATTACCATCTCTCTGTGTGGCCTCAGTGGACACCCTTGACCTCTCTGAGCCTCTTTCCACAGGGGCGGGCTGGATGGTCTGGGCCATCCCCTTGACCTCTGGCAGTCTCTGAATCCAAAAAGGCCTTTGTACCGTCTGTGATTCTCCAAAGAGTGGGGGAGAGAGATGCCAAATCAACGATTTCACCATCAAAGACAGGCGCATCAGTGTACTCAAACTGAGACAGCTTGAAAGCTGGCTCTTTAAATCTTGCCAAATCTTTTGGCCTTGAAGTTCCTGACTAAAAAGCTGAATGCGAGGAGGCATCTGAGCCGTTTTCTTCAGCAGGACCAATTTCAGAAGTGCTTTGGAAAGAAGCACTTCTTTCCAAATGAAGAGAGTTTTCATTTCTTTGCTGAAAAAGGACTGCCTCTAGAAGGGAGCTGAGTTTGGATGGGTTTCTCCCTAAACGCCATCGGAGGAGGGGGGCCAGGATGTATGTGCTCTGCGATCATGGGAACCAGGGTGGTACCTGGGAAAAGAAAGCAAGCCAGAGAACCACTGGGATGGAAGTCCTCTTGGAGGAGGGTTTAAATCAAAAGGCGTAACACCCCAAGTCCCTGCTCGGGTTTCTTCCACGCTCCCCGAAAAGACCTTAGGCTGGCTCCTTGGGGACAGGGGATGTGCAGGGGACAGGGCCCTACCCCCAATCCTTCCACAGCCACAGCCAGAGTGACTGACCCAAAGCCATCTGGGCCACTGACCAGCTGGGTGGTCCTGAACATGTCACTTGCTCTGGTCTCAGCCCGCCCACCGCACCCTGTGAAGCAGAGGTGGCGGCAGCCCCTTTCTCGCAGGGTGACGTGTGGAGTGACTGGGAAATGCCATGAAGTGCTCAGCACGCCTGGCGTGCAACAGAACTCAACAGCTGTTATTACTAATAGCAGCGTAACGTTTCTTCCTCTTCCCCCAGCTCTGGCTCCTCTCCTTCCAGCGGGGGCGCAGGGCAGAGTGAGGTTAAAAGGTGCAGGCAAAGGCAGGGCTGCACTGGCCTTGGTGGCCTCTGAGCCTGGGCAAGTGGATGCCCCCGAGAGGCCTGGCCGCTTCCCCAGGCAGGGAGCCCGGGCTGGGGGGGCCTCTGCAAGCCTCCTGCCCATTTGCACAATGTTGGCTCCAAGAATTCCTGGATCCTCCACCCAAGTTGCGTGCTGGCTGTCCCCACGAGGTGCCAGGGGAAGGTTGTGGCAGCTCTGGCAGTGCCAAATTCCAATTACTTGAGCACATGTTTGTTGGGATGCAAAGCCCTCTTTGGGTGGGCAGGATGCTTCCCCATCCCCACCCCACACTGAATGGCAGGGGCTGAGCCTGACCTCTTACCTTGCAAGAGCAGAAGCTGTACCCCAACCAAAGGAAGGTATAGAGTAAAGTCGAGTACTCTGGCCATCAGATGCAGGAAAGTGCTGCAGACACGAGGCTTTGGAAAGAGGAGCGGGTAGTCTTCCAAAATGCACTAGATTGTCCCTCTAAGAAGAGGGACAGGCAAAGCCACCAGGCAGAGGTGCCTGATGTGGCCGCTGTCACCGAGGGCACTGGGAACCTCCTGCCTGAGCCCACAGAGACCGGGTGCCACTGCCCCCATCTCTCCCCATCACTGTACAATTCCATCAGGGGTCCTGTCCTCAGAGGAAATCGCCGCACGAGCGGCCTGCGCTGCTGGAAGCCTTCCGGTCGCTGCCTTGGCCGCTGCCTGCTTCCACCTCAGCAGCACCCTCTATCTCTGACAGCAAATGTCCTCCTCTCGGGGCTGCCAGCGCCCCCTGAGTCACACACAGAAGGGCACCTGGTGTTTGAGAGCAGGGAGGGAGGGTCAGCAAGAGGAAGCTGGGGCTTCTTTCCTCCAAGGGGGGGACGCAGAGGCCCAGGGGCAGGGAGGTTTTCCAAAGAGAGCTCAGGAGCCCTCCCCGTGGGTGCTGCTGACTGTCTGCCAGCTGCGCTCTGGCTGGCGCTCAGCCGCTCAGCCTCCCACCTCCGCTGGGCGAGCTCTCCTCACCTGCGGGATCCTTCGCCACCTGCTCTTTCTAGAAAGCTCACTGACTGTAACATTTACAGTACAGCTACAGGCGGGAGGTATTCATAAAAGAGAAGGGGAAGGCTCAGAGGAAATGGCACACAGCTAGTCATAAACTGTCTCTGTGGGCCTCCTCTGCGTACGCGTGAACACCAGCTAACAGGCATTCTGGTCTGTCCGCTGGCCCCAACTTCGTTAGGCGTATGAGCCCACATAAGTGTTCGGTCCATCTCCTGGCTCAGGACCCCGCTCAGGGACCGGCCTGGCTCTCCCTGCACAGCACACAGAGGTACCATCGGTGGTGCAACGAAGGCCCTCACCTCCGGGACGTCCACTGGGAGAACTGACGCCGGCCTCATGAGTCTCGCCCTCAGCCCTGCATTTGAGTCCTTTGGTGACCCACCAGCATCCCTCCACGCCCCTCAGCCAGATGAGCTGAGAGGGGGGCAGTGCCCCCAAGGAGGCGGGGAGCTCCCCAAGTGCAGGGCGACGGGCTCCACAAGCACACGGCCACGGCCACCCCGCACGGCTGTGTGGGAAGAGCCCTCCTAAATTTCAGTAGGTGGTGAAACCGAAAAGCCTTGGGAAGCAGGATCTCGCAGACAATGGCTGCATCATTCTGGGACCTGCTGAGTCTGGTCCACCTTCTTGAATCCTTCTGAGGACAAGCTGGTGATGGCATCTGCCATCCACTGTCCAAAACACACTGATTCTAGACAAGGGCCGACCATCTCCTCCGGGAAGTGATGAAGCGCACGGGTCCTGCGCAAAGCCTCCAACCCCAGGGCCCTTGCCAGTCCCCTAACAATGACTAAAAGAACATGAAGTTTCCCTGCCAGACACTGGGCTGCCCTACTCTCTTCCAGCTGTCTCTTCACATCTGATTAAAATAAGCCGTGTGAATAATACAGGAGGAATTAAGTTCTCTCTTGACTGAGCCGGCTGTTCAAGTCTGTCACTAATCCAATTTCATTCCGAGGAGACAAAGTTTTTTCTCTTTCTTTGCGACAGGTCTATATGGCTTGGTTTTATCTTATGGGGGCTCTGGCCCACCTGTTGGGCCTGGCCCTTTCTCCTTGCCCAGCATCGACAGACCCAAGTCTGGCAGAGTCACCTCTCCTCCTGCTCACTTCTCTATCCAACTGCCAGTTGTTTGTGACAGCCACCAGGCTGTGCAAGGGCAGGAGGGGGGCTGCTTGGCAGAGCTAGACCACCTCACACTTAGCAAACTTTGTGTGGTGTGACCGAATGGACACATCCAATCTAAACAAGTGCAGCTTCGGGAGACACATCTGTCTCCTTGAAAAGAAGGGGGCTGACCCCTCTGAACCCCAGGAGAGGCTGGTACCCAGCAGGCTCTGCTTTACACAGGCCCGTGGGACATATAGGCAGACTCTCGGATTCCTGCTCTCTGGGGATCTCAGGCAGCCCATCAGGATACACGGACCTGGCACCTGCCCGCTCTGGAGAAGTGGCCCCAGGGTCTCGAGACAGCAGACCTGGAAGGCACCTGGGACAAGCTTCAGGCTCGCCAGTCCCTCCCAGCCGGCCCCCCACCCCTAGCTGCAAAAGGCTCCTCCAGCATTGGTCCCAAGAGTGCCCCCTGCTGGCAAAGACATAGCACTGGGGGACAGGGGGTCGGGGGGCACGGACAACTCTCTCCCCAAAGCTCTCCTCTACAAATCCTTTTGGGGGACTGTTTCCCAAAGTGATGGGAGGAAACTAAATGTATTCGGGCACAGAGCCTGCAGCAGCAAGGCTGCTTGATTAAGAATGAATTACACTTTCATCAGCACATACAGAAACTGATTCACAAGGCCGCATTGTGATAATCGGGTTCCGAAAGCAAAAGGGGGTGGTGTGGGGGTGGGCAGGACACAGAGCCATTGGGCTATCGATGATGAGAGAAGGGAAGCTCTACAATTAAGCTGGGAGAACAAAACTAATCAGGATTCCTCCGACTAGTCTCTGGGGGCCTCGCCTCAATCTGTTCATCCCCAGGGGGGAGGAAGGAAGTTGGGAGGGGGCAGTCTAATTCATTTGAAACAATAAGACCCACAATGCTGAACCCATTTTAGATCCTAACCTAATAACTCCAGGCGCTGAGACTCTGCTTGTCCCATTAAAAAATGCAGTGAAATTGAAATGCAAGCCCTAAAATCACGTTACACTTCCTCTCCGCCACTACATATGTATTGAAGATGAAGGAGGGGGAGGAAGAGGATACAAAAGAAAACACAGATCCACCAGGCGAAAGCTGACTCTGGAGCAGAAGGTGACAGGCAAATCCAGCAGCAGCAAATTCCAACCTACTCGTTGATTTGGGGCACAATAAACATGCCCCTTCCAAGCCAGAGCCGAGGGGGCAGGGCCCGTGACGGTGGGTAGCTGCTGTAAACTGGCCAGATTAAGCTTCTCTGCTGTCTTGCAAGTGACAACATGCACCTAAATGTCATCTGGGGATGTGCATGGGGACAGAGCTATTCACACACTCATCCCTAAACACAGGCGGGATGAAAGGGCAAGTCCATTTCAATTAACAAATCCAATTTGGTATTAGTTACTTTATTTGCTCGAGAGAGAAATCTGCCAGGGAAAACCCAGTGGGTCCCTTTGGTGTATTAATCCTTTAGGGACTTAGAGCAGCAAAAAGATGCCTATAAACTGGCGTCCACCCCTGCGATGCTGGCGGGACCCTTGGCTACTCCGTTCTTCCACCTGAAAAACAGATGAATCTGCCTGATGCACCTCACTGGGCGGCCGGAGGCTCGCTGAGAGCGCCGAGCATGCCGAGCGAGCACCTTAGGAAAATGATGCAGATATACTGATGTCATCCTCAAATTGCCAATATCAGAAGGGAAATCACAGTGAGGATCATAAGAACAGAACCTCGAGCCCGCAGAATGAGTTTGCATCCGTTCTCCTCCCTCCCCCTGTTGCAGTAACAAATCAGGTGCCGGAGGAAAGCTGCACTGAAACACATCTTCAGTGCTGAGGGACCAAATGGGATGTTTTACTGCATCAAATAAGGCCCAATAATGTCCTCAGGCACTAAGTGGCTGTAAGATATCCTAGGGGGGCAAGGCAGAATTTAAGGGCTCCTCAGGGCCTCCCAAAGGGCAACTGCTTGAGTCAGTAAAGTCTAACAACCAAAAAGGGATGGGGTCGTGATGTTTTGGAGAAGAGGCTGGTGGACTCTTCTATCTCAAGAGCTACCAGAAAGGAGCAAGAAAGCCGTAAGCCCTCAACAGCTAGGAGGCACCTGGACACTTGGTTTGTGGGAATGTGAAGTACGAGTGGCTTTCAGGGCCGAGCCCGGGTGTCCTGTATAGGAGGAGCCCGCTCCCTGAGACGAGCCCACGCCTCCCAGCGCCTTCCCTGTGCTTCCCACAGAACCCGGACGCGTCCAGATCAGACCACTGCTGCACCGTCATCTACAACAGTAGCCGGTGCCTCTGTGCTCCTCACTAACCCTCGCTCCCTTCCCCCCCATTCCCCGCTCCTTTACCTCCTCCCTCCCCCCTCTGCGGTGCTCCAACAGCAGCAAAGGGAGGGTTCTGGAGCAGGGCAGCCGGTGCACTGCCTTTTATGGCAGGGCAGAAGGTGCTCCAGGAGATAATGCCCCGTTTCCAGAGCAGACAGAGTCACTGGGCACCCATGACTGCGGTCGGGGAGAGCTGAACGCATAACCACACGTGCCGCACGAACTGTTTAGCGGCCCTCTCCCAGGCAGACGACGCAGACCGGAGGTCACCAGGGAGGCTCTGGCCGTTAGCTTTAATTGTGGGAGACGCCTTTCACGCATATTGGATCTTGCCCTGTGATTTATCACTTCCCCGGGTGTGTTAAGTGTTCTACTTCACTTCACTAGCCCTGCATCTCCAAGGGAAGTCCACGCAAATTGAAGATGATATTGGGCTTTTATGTCTTCCTGATCCAAGAGAGGCTAGAGCCTCCGATAAATGTCATGGCTCCTCATTCCTGTTTCTCCACAGGCGGAAACCACAGCTGGACTTTGATGGGGCAAACCATTTACTAATAAAAGACTCTTTCTAAGCTCTATGACCCCGGAGGCTTCTCATCTGTTGATGTCCTTTGGAATCCTGGGCTCCCTCGGAGACCAGGGCACAAAGCAACAACAAATCTGACATGCAGACCAGCTCGGGACTGGGGAGTCAAACCCGTCTCCTGAGAGGGGGTAAAAGCAGGGCCCTGAGTGCACACGCCAGGACCGCATTGTCACCTCCAAAGTGTGCTGCACAGCTCGGTCACAGCTGAACACCGCTGCCTGCATCAGCACTGTGGCTCTGAGGGCAAGAAGCTCAAGCCCATGACACCTGTGTCCCCCTCAACCCAGCCTCACTGCCAGACCTCACTCTCTCACTCCAGAGACTCTGGGGCCAGGAGTATGTGTGGCTATCGATCCCCATGCCCCTCCCCAGGAAAGGAATCTAGGTTCCCAAGGGTGGTTTTTGATCTTGATCCCTGGTGCCACTCTGATTCCGATGGCAAATGCCGGACGAGTTGCACTGATTATCAATGGGGGGAAAGTGGGAGCGTAGCAGATACAACCCCAGCACAGGCAGGGGGCTGGTCATCGGTCCCTGCCCCAGGGACCATCAAAGTCTGAAAAATGGAAAGTACACCAAATTTCACGTAAGGCAAAACACCACTAGTTAGTCTAGTGATGCTGAGATAACTTTAGTTGTATTAAAGTCCAATCTATGCTTGTATTAACCCTTGATTCATCAGAATTCTTGATTAACTGGAGCCTGGCAGCCTGCTTTGAAAACAAGTTTATATTAAGATGTTAAAAAAAAAAAAAGAAGAAGAAGTCCTAGTACAAATCTGACTACAAATCAAACCTCATTTGTCTACAACAATAGCTCAGTGAGAACTGATGGTCAAAATCAGGCCCCTTGAAGAATTTAAACGCTCTGAATCATTACAGAAAGAGGAAAGAGGAAATCGTATCAAGGTGGAACAGTGCAGTCAGATGGAGGGAATATCTGACAGCACGGGGTGAAATAGAAAGGGACTTTCTGCTTGCCCCTGTGCTAGCCACAGCGTCCAGAAATGGGTCCAAAGTGGATCCAGCCAGGGTTCTCTGGGTACCACGGGGTCATTGTTGAGCAGATGATCCAGCTGGCCTGCCCATTCCAGTGCTGGCCATCCCTGCGTAGAGCATACACTGCTCAGTGTTGGGGTGTTCCAACACCAACATGTGCTATGGAAGCTGAAGAAATAGGAGCCTGCTAAATAAAAGTGTCACACACAAACCGGGGTTCATGCCATGGGTTCTTGGAACCACTGACAGCTCGAATCCATCTTATAATGAGATCCATCTGGGACTTTAATAGCTAACCTCTCTTGCTTGGATAACAACCACAAATAGGATCTATTTATGCCAGATCTCATTTTTTGGTAGAAAGCTTCCAATGAGCTTATTTTATTCCAGTAGCAGAAACTGTGGTGAGGACTCCAAAGGACACATCCTACAGGACTGCCAGATGTTGGTGCCCTTACTGGGTGCTAGGGGGATTAGGTGACGGCAGCAGCAGGGTGTTACCTTATTGTCAGGCATAATAAGTTCTCTCCGCTGCCCAGGCGTGTTGGGAGAATGCAAACTGTTGCAGAAGGAAAGCGGCAATCATTCAATCAGTTCCCTCAACCACCACTAACCGCCCAACTACCGCGCGCCCGCAACTGCACCGTCCCAACGAGGGTTCACTGTGATCACAACTCCTGCCCGCGCTGCGGGGGAGCGGAAGCAGACACGGCCTTCAGCGCGCTGAGAGACAGACGGTCCGCTGAGGCGGACTGCACACCAGATCCCTGGGCTGTTGGTTTGCTTTCCTTGACAAGAAAATGGACATGTACAGACAGGGGAGGCTCTAAAGGAAACGGGTGAGCACAGGCAGCCCTTTCACTCCGTGACCAGAAGCTGTCAGGTAAGACCAGGGGCCTTCCAGAGGCTGACACCACATGAAAGGTCTCAATCTTGAGTTAAAGACATCAGTCTTAAAAACACCCGAATTTACCCCATTTCCATGCTAGGGTTATTATCTAAGAAGTTCGTACGCCACCAAGACAAAAGACTTTTAGACAGACCTGACTGGACAAGAAGCAGTGACCTTCTCCAGACCAACAGTGACACAAGATGTGAAGGACGACCAGTCCTACAGCCCCACTGACATGCTCTTCAGAGCGAGGCAGCCTTCCGCACCCCTGGAGGCTGGTCTGGCCCCAGAGGGGACGCCTGCTCTCAGACTCAAAGCATGCTGCGGCCAGTACCCAGGCGCCACCTGCCCTTGGGAGGGGTCGGCGTGGCCCGGGACAGAGACAGGCAAGCTCATGCATGGGTTAGTATCACAGAGGGCAGTACCGTCACCACATACAGAGTACCTGGGGATAACCTACTTTGAGGGCTCAAATGCAGATAGGTCTTCTGCCTTGGGCTTGAGGCTAAACCAGCAAAATAAAATGAAGAAAAACAAAAACATACCCTGTGATATCAACAATGCCACATGTGCCATTTGCAAAATGCTCAGACAGGCCTGAAATTGTGACAAGCGACTTCATGTATTTGTTTTCGTGGCCTGGAAATGGGTCCATCCAGCTTTCAGCACTGCCGGTCCCGTGGCCGTGGGCCCCGCTCACTGCGGCAGCGGCCGAGGCGGGACCGCTCCTGGTGCCCACGTGCATGAGTCGGGGCAGCTCCTTTGAGGCCTGACTGGCTCACTGGGCCAGTCTCGGTCTCCTTCTTTGCTCACTGGCTGAGACCTCACTTCAGCTCCCCTTTTGCTAACTGTTTAACAATTTGGTTTTGAAAGGGGAACACAGTAAACGACAGAAGCCAGAGGTGAGAAAAATGTGGAATGTGGTAAGGTCTTCCCTTCTAGGTTATGCTATTAAAAGGAACTCCCTACCCAGTGCCTACTGTACTAACTGCAGGTAAGAGTGAGAACTCGAGGCTCCTGACTGTACCCACCAATGACGGCAGGTAGTTTTCAGATGCACCTTAACCACTGAACACAAATATTCCTTAAACTGGGAGACCATTTTGAAGACTAAAGATGAAGTGTGAAAACTTAAACATGTCTAAACGATCCTCCCCTAAACTCGATGAACAGCCCTCTCTTAATAACACCTATTGGGCAAGTGTTAACCTGGGCCTGGGCTGCCAGTAAGGAGCGGACACCAAGTGGCAGGAGAGGACCTTTCTGCTTTGCCCAACATCAGAGACGCAGCCATTGGGCTGGTATGCAGGATGGAAATTAACTTCCTCTAAAATGCTAAAAACTCAAAATATTCAGGGAAGAAAGATATAAAGCCATTAGCAACATCTTTTAAAACGTTAAGGTTCTTTTAGATACTTCCTTTTAAGTATGAAAAAAGAGAAAAATTCAGAATTTGGTTTCTAAATCAAGAACAGAGCTTTATAGTCCTTGCCACTTAAAAAACACAAAAAGTCTAGAGGGAGAGTCTATTCTCAACAGCCTCCATCTCATTTTGCTTTCTCATTAAGTAAGGCAGCTCCCTGGGCAGAACTCCCCTTGGCTTAAAAGACAGAATTGCTTTACTGCTAAATGATGGATCAAAATCCGTCCAGTAACAGTGATTCATTTCATCAGGAAATGCTTGTGTTAAAAGCTCCCCTTCCTTCGAGCCAGTGGGTTCACAGTCATTGGCAGATTAAATTCCCTTTTAGGGCAGGAGTCAAAAAATTTTTCTCAACAAAGTACATATGAAAAATGACAATAGTCTAATGACTTGGCTGCTGAGGAAACCAGATGTAAACCTCACATTTCATTAATGTTATCCTGATCAGCAAAAGACAAGAGATCCGGTACCTTTTTAATGGTATTGTGCTTGCTGCTGGTGCCGCCCCGGTCAGAGTTCTCGTTGTGCAGAATGTCCAAGGCTGTCTCCCTCTCTTTGAGTTTCAGGGCCTCAATCTCAGTCTTGAGTTCATTGAGCTGCTCCTGCAGATGCTTGCTCTTCTCCATATACTCCACTCTGCCAGCAAGAGGATACCGTGCATCATGGCTTCGGCCAACATGTCACGGTTGAGAAGCTCCAGACCTGCAAGCCGCTTGGCATGGGATCCAGGGCCTGAAGCCTCAGGTTCCTGTCCCTGCTTGGTCACCCATGGCCCCTGGGAGGTTGGGCCAGTCACTTAACTGGTCCGAATTAAATAAAAGAGAGTGTAGGAATTTCCTCTTCTACCCTACTGTAAGCTCTCATAAGGTGCTCTACAAATACCAGCTGAAATAGGTAGCTTTTAGTTCTGTACAAAAAAAACAACACATGCAGCAAGCCCCCTGGAATCCAAAACAATCTTCTTGTCTCAGCCCTAGTCGGAGGAGTAATTCCATTCAAGTGACCTCTTCTGACTGGCCACAGCCACATCCCTACTTACTTTGGGATGACATCTAAAAATGATGGATGCTCACTCAGCTAACACTAGGAAGAAAAAAATCCCCACCATCGCCTGCAAGTAGATACTGTATCTGTGATGGTGAAAATCCGGGAATCATTCTCAAAGTGTCCAAATACAAGGGCATGGCCCGCACAACACAGACACCAAGGAATATTCTTTAGTGATTCCCGTGCTAGTATGTGGGCTCTGTTAATATGCGCACAGGTAATGAGAAAATAGAACCTATAAAAAGGCAGGACACAGATACAGCCTCACTCTGATCACAAGCATGTAATGCTGTGAGTACGCCTGGGCTACGGTGAATGGCCAGGAGGGAGCTCCAACAGAAGACTTCACAGGTAGACGCTCTGGTTCTCTACCTCAGTGTGAGAGCCCAGAGAGCCACACCCGGTTTGTGGTTGCCCACCCTGGGCTCCAAGGAGACATCGTCCCAAGAGGGTTGTCCTGAGGACAGTAAATAAGGTGAAAACACATCGGCTTGGACAGGCTTGGAGCTGAATCCTGGTTCTGGCCCTCATCAGTTGTGTGACGCAAGTGAGTTCATTAGACATTCTAAATCTGGCTTTACATTTCTAAACAGGAACACTAAAACCTACCCTTGATGTCAGTTTGATTTTCATTAATGGGAATGAAAGAAGGTAAAACTAAAACACCCTGATGCCCAGGCACTCAGTACACGGTAGCTATCGAGAGTGTTCTGTGGCAAGCCACGGCACAGCTGGACAGTGTACCTCCAGCTGGGAACTGGGGGGACCTCAGCTAGATTTCCTCTGCAGTGGGACGGCCTTCCACCTCAGATCCACTTCCAATGACCATCAAATGCAGGAGGATAAAGAAGCAGAAGCTGCTGTGAACAGGGCACGTGGGGCTCAGCTCAGGGCTGGCCCATGCAGCAGGGTGGCCCAACCTGGATGTTTGTTTTCCTCAGCCTTGAACCTGAGATTCTTCTCTCTCATCCTTGTTCTAAACGTGGAATGTCACAGATCTGAGCCGCCAGAGAACACAACTAGGGGACACGTTCTATTTCCAGGTTAGGGCATTATCACACACTCTGTTATGATGTGAACAACAATCTGACCGACACCTGACAGCCAGTCCCACACTTTAGGTGAGGATTTGAGCCACTATAATCTCCAGGTCTCCAATCAAGTATCATTTTTGTCCTGGAAGATTGAATGCTGGTCTGTAGGCCTTCATTTCTGATTAGGAAATCCTTCCTTCAGGTGGTGAGAACAGAACAAACCTTTGCAGGAAACAGCAAAAGGCTGCAGCAGCGACCTCCCACTTGCCCCAGGCCTGGAGCGACTCGCTCTAGTTCAATGGTTGCCCAAGCAGGGCACGGGGATGGGGAGGCTACGTACTTTTCTTTCTCTATTTCCATGGAAAGTCTCTTCATGTCAGTGTCCTTGAAGTCGAAAGACAGACTGTCGCCAATGAGGTTGAAGCTTGATATGTCAGGAGGCAACGGTGCTGGAATTGGGTTCATGGGCTATAAAGGAGAAATCTGCAGTTAGGGGCTCAGGCTCTATGAACACAGGGACGTGCTATGTTAACCACCGACCCTCCAGCAGCCACAAAGGCAACGGGCATGGTGCAGGGCCTGCCTCATAGCACCGCCAAGGCCTTCTGTCACAACTGTCTTCTTTGACCCCGCAATTCTATTTGAAAATTTATTCTAGCAATATTTCCACATGTACATGCAAATATTTGCTTTCAGGGACGTTCCACGCAGTTTTGTTCATAATTGCAAAAGAGAACAGACTAAATACCCATCTACTGGGGACTAGTTAGATAAATTATAATCCCTCTGTACAATGAAATCTGATTAGAGAGTTGATATGATCTCCTCCAGATTTTATTTATTTATTGTTAGAACAGTGCATAACGCCTGCTCCAATGTATGTTTTAAAAACACACACGTCGGTGGTGTCCGGCCTAGATGAGCCCTCAGACAACTCCAGCCCCAGCTGCCATCTGCCTGCAATCACCGCAGAGATCCCCAAGAAGGACCACTGGCCCAGTCAACCCGCCGAGCCACGAGAGAGAATAACGCAAGGATGTTCTGAGCTATATAGAGGATAGCTGGCTTGCGGCGGCCTGTTGCACGGTAATAATCAGCACATATGACAACAGCAACCTGCTCCCATTTTCCTCCATGTCAAACCCTGGGCAGCTTGTGCCTCTGTGCCCCGTGCCCCTCACTGCTGCGTGCACATCTGTGCCGCGTGTGAATGTGCAGTGCAAGCATTTGTGTAGTGAGCGCAACTGTGCACTAGCCTGGAATGCCCTATTGTCTCTTTCCCATCTGGTTAGTTCCTACTTACCCTTCAAGGGTCAGCTCAGGCCCCACCCTGAGCCCCTCCTGCCCCTCCAGGCCGGGCTAAGTTCCCCGCAAGGCACCTGTGCACCCTGTCTGTATGAAGACTTCCCATCTCCCTGGTATTATATGGAATAGAGCAGGAGTGGAAAAAGTTTGATGAACTGAATTGTCTCCCCTCCTCTGCCAAAAAAAGGCTTCTTTATTCATTTTGTGACCCTATTTAATTGAAGTCTGTCTCCCTGTCCCAAAATTGAGTTTGGAAGCTGGTTCTTGCATGACAATAATTTACATGAGCAATGGAGGGTATCCCTGCCCAGAACTAGGATTATGGTATACGCTATATACTGGTAGTTGAAGATTACATTCAGCTTGGCGCTGAGAAGCTTGAGAGTAAGTTCTCTTGAGGATAATTTGGGACCATATTATTTAGAATACGAAAAACATTTTTGGGCTGTAAAAGGCCCTGTTGCTTGTTATCTTGGCAACCAGAGAAGTGACTACCTAGTCCGAGGCCAAATGGCAGACCAGGCGTTCTGCCCAGACCCTAACTGCAGTCTCTCTGTACCACTTGCTCTGCCATGCATTTGCCCTGAACAGTCCCGTCCCCCTGAAGACACCACCAGGTGAAGCGAAGGGCTGGCAAGGACGGGAAAGCTACCAGGTCTCAGCGGCCCCCATTCAGGCTCACCGGGTACGTGGGCTTGGTGGTGATTTCCAGCAGCTTTTGTTTGGCTCTTCGCTCTGCCTCACGGGCTTCCTGCAGGTCCTGCTTCAGCTGGTCAGCCTCCTTGGCCCTGCAAGAAAAGGAGGAGCCGTCACCTCCACAGAAGATGACAGGTGGGGGAGAGACCCCCCCCCCTCTCTGTGACATCTCTGGAGAGGTGGGACTTCGGTCAATCCTGAGGAAGGCACCGGATCAGGCAAACAAGGATGGTGGAGGGTGGGTGGGGCATTTACAGGAAATCAGAACTTCCAGGCTAAGAACAACATTCCTAGGCATTGTATTGCCGCGACCAATAAATCTGAAGTGGAGGAGCAGAGGAGCCGGTGGGAAGAAGAGCCAAGTATAAACCTTTGTAACTGGCGGCGACAAAGGACAGTTGGGCTACAGGTATTCTATTCTCTACTTCATTTCCGGGTGAGAGTGGGATGAGCAAAGGAAGAGTCTGGTGGATCAAAGGTCTTATATTTTAGTACAAAGGGCAGGGGGTGAAAGAACTGACCTCATAGCCCTCCCACCCCCCAAACAACTGCAGGCCAAGGGCCCACCTCCTCAGGCACCACTGGACGGCATCGCACTTGGATGCAGGTCATCGCCCTGTAGGACAAAGGATCCAAACCATCGTGCCTCCCTCATGGCGGAAGTGACCCGAACAGAGAAAGAAAGGGGCCCAGGACAGGGCAGAAAACGAGGAACCCTATTATTCCCAGAATGACACACAAAAAGTGGAGAGGAAATCTGCAATTATACCTTGGTAGTAAAAAGCCAAATTCAGATGTTCAAAATCAAAAGGGCCAATGCTGTGGGGAATGTGCCAGCGTTTATCTGAAGGTTGCAGGACTATAACAAGCCAGAGCCTAGAATAGCCTTTGAAAAGTACAGGCGACAGTTCCATTCTTCAGCCCGGTTGGGAGCGGGTCATCCTGGCAAGAGGGACCCAGGCGCTCTCCTCCCATCTGCCTCGGGAGCCTTGGCACCAAGGAAGGCCTGCGGGGAAGTGGGTGCCTAGTTCCTACATTAAAGGGAAATAGCTGCTGTCTCTCCACGTGCCCCCTATATGAAAAGGGAAATGATTCACATTTTTTAAATGTAAGAAGAACCTCCTTATATCTCCTCAGTTAAAGGCAGTCTGTGGATATGCTCGATGGTTTTCCTGCAAACAGGGTATCAGAGGGACAAGAGCTTATCACAAAGGCACAGGCATGACCAGATGTCCACTCAACAAGAGAGCTGTGTCCCTTCCAATAGCTCCAGCCCCCAGACTGGATTAAGCACCAGGCCCCACCAACCTAGCAAGGAAGGAGCCTGCCCCCTTCCCAGACGCCAGAGAAGCAGCTTGAGGACGGCTGCAGTCCAGCTCTGCCTCGGCGCAGGGTCAGGCCTGAGCAGCGCCTCGCCCAGGCCCTAGTGCCCAGGGCCCCTTCCCCCAGCCCCCCGCCTCTGACCTCCTCTCCGACTCCTCAGCCATCTTCAGCGCCAGAACCTCGGCCTCCAGCACCTTCTGCTCCATCAGGCGCTTCTCTTCCTCTGTCCGAATGGCCGTGGCCTTGATGCGCTGCATTTCCTGTTCGGCCTCTGCAGCCTTCTGTGCCAGGAGCTTTGCCTCCTCCTCGGTAATCTGGGCCTTTTCCGCCAACAGGTCAGCCGTCTCCTCAGACCGCATCTGGAGGGAAGAGCGTCATCAGTGGGAGTGGGGCTTGTGTGCCTGTAATCCCACCAGGTCCGAGCTCAGACCCTCAGGTAGGTCAGCTAGAACCACAGTCTCTGATTCCTTGGGCCTCTTCCACTGTGTGTCCCCTCGGATGACATCCTGGCAACAGATGACAAGCCATACCCCTCAACTTTTCAGAAGGGCCCTTCAGGTGCCATCCATGGGGAGCAACAAGAAAGCACCTTTTTTGAGTCCTCATGTGAACTGAGACTTATGGTTTATGAAGGAGAAAACCAACTTAACTCTGTTCTCCTTTCCCTTTAAATCAGTTCCAAACCAGTGGAGACTTTTTCCCCCTGGGGCACATGTAATGATGTCTGCAGACATTTTTGATTGTCACAAACAAGACAATCAAAGTAAGGTGGTACTACCAGCAGCTAGTAGGTAGAGGCCCGGGTCACTACTAAACATCCTTCAATGACAGGACAGACCCACCACAAAGGACGACCTGGCCCCAATGTCAGTAGTGCTGAAGCTGAGAGGCCCTGCTTTAAAGGCATCCCGTGGTGAAAAAGGAGTTTGTCTGTAAATGAACTCAAGTTAAATTTGCTTCTGCCAGCACAGGTGGAAAGGAAAGGCACTTTTTTTTTAAAGCTGAAATGTCAAAGCAAATGTCACTAATCTCTCGTTCTCAGGAGGTCTCACTCTAACAAATTGAGCAAGACCCCATTCAGCCTCCTGGACCCAGACCCCTCGGAAATCACCAGTGCTTCATTGGCCATCGTCGCTTCTTCTTTCATCTGCAGCAGCCTCCTCTCCAGCTCATCCCGTGTGCGTTCAGCCTCCTCCCTCATCTGCTTCTCTCGGGCAAGGCGCTGCCGCTCCATCTGCCAAGGAGCGGGGGACACGAAAGCAGTCACTGAGTCATGGGGCTCGTGACCTACGGTGCCACAGGGATCCAAGAATGCCCAGCATCAAGAGTCTCCCCTGTGGGGCCCCTTTTCTTCTGTCAGCCAGCGTCATTCTTGTCACCCACCACCCTCTATCCTTCTAAACCAGCTGTCAAGTTGAAAACTATGCTCCTTGAAAAAACACCTAGTGGTAAACAAACCAAGAAAAAGCCAAGTCAGGTCTCCACCTGGATCTCAGGAGGCATTCCTACACACCGTGTGCTCAAACGGCTACCTTGCCAAAGTCCCTTTTTGTTGGTAGTCCTCTCCTGGCTCTGCCCTGTGGCTGCCAGGACACAATGCAGGTTCCTTCTCCCTGAGATGGAGCCTCAGAAACAGACAACCTTCCCATCTGGCTGGATAAGCCACCTCGCCATTTCTAATCTACACCTCTCCCACACCTCCAATTTCATCCACAATAGCTCCACTCCTGCCTCTGACCCACAGAGAAGATGGACTCATCCTGTGTGATGCATCGGTAGTTCACACATTGTATTTCACAGGGGGAGGCTGCAGCAGCCACAGCACAGGCTCACGCAGAGGCAACTCCTGAGCCAGGCCTGCGACAGGAGGGAGCCAGGCATGGAACACAGCCCCCCGTCCTTAAGGCACCAGTACAAAGCCTCCGCCACCTCCTTTGCCTTCTGGATCACTGTATTAATTGGGCCACATGCCGAGCTTAATAAGGCGAACAAGCACAGGACAAGTGCTGTTCTCTGTGATCCTGCCGTACTCACTGAATTCAGGAAGCAAAAGCCAGAAGTGACCACTGCACCGCTTTCTTCCTTAAATAATTAAAGCACATTTAATTACTTCTTGCTTCAATCTTCTCCCAAATACAAGATTTCTAAGATTGCTGCTTTTTTCTAAATATTAAGCCAAAAAAAAAGGCACTGGACCTCGAAGGCATAATGCAAAGACAAGCAATAAAATACTGTAAATTCTTCTCCCATTTTCAATGAAAAGCTTGGCCAATTTGTCCTCTCATTTCCATCATATTACGATTTCCATTAGGTGGATAACTGTGTGTCCATTAGTCTCCTCTTGGAAAAAGCCCAGGCTGTGCCCTCCATTCCCAGCACTGCGCTCCCTGAGGCCTCCACCCCCATAATAAGGGACCTCTTGTTTGCAAAGTGGTTTAAGCTGTAATGACTTTCAGTTCAATATGTCCTTTGATCTGAGAGAGAGAAGAGGCATCATCGGCTCCACATGATAGATGAGAACACTGAGGTCTGGAAGTTAAGTCATTCACTAGCGTCACAGGCTAAGTTTCACAGCGGACTCCAAGGTCACTGTCTGAGCAGGGGCCATGGAGCCCCTGACCTGCAGCTGCCAGATTCCAGAGACGCGCCTCCGCTGTCCTACAGGAAGTGCAGGTGTTCATGCTATTCTCTGCCACAGGCCAGAGGCCTACCTGCTCCTTGCCATTTTCAGATCTCTCGCTTCTAAGCTTTGCACTGTTAAAAAAGAGGTCAGACGGGGCTTCTCTGAAAGTTGCCACTGTACCACTGTGTTGGCTCAGGAGCATTTCTTTGTCCACTAAAACTCTACCACCCACAAAGCATCCTGAAGAGCACATCTACGGCCTCCCATCTCAGAAAGCAAAGAGATGGAGAGCTGTAAGCAGGGGCTCAAACTGGGCATTTCATTCTGAAACTCGGGGCTGGGAGCCAGACTCACTGGAGTTCCCAGATCAGAGACAGCTGCACACAGACTAATTATTACACCTTCTTGAGCCCGCAAGTCCTGAGGGCAGCTGACTGCAGCTGCTGCTACTCTATCTAGTAGTTCGTCCGAAACCACAATTAATATTCTCAGCAGTGAGGCTCAGATTAGTTGTGTGGATTCCGGTGAGTCAGAAAGGTCTATGAGTAGAAAACAATGATGCAGGTCGTCCAGTCTGCTGATAGGCGCGCCCGGCACCTCCCTCGGCGGGTGATGTGCCGCGGGGCTGACCTACCGTGGGGAAGTGCAGCCAGAGTCTAATTAGCATTCCAGCAGCAGCACTGAAATGCCGCCTTGCATTCGATCACCACCTAATTAGAAACGGAGAAGGCCGGCAAAGGAGACGGGCAGGCAAAGAGAAAGCTTAGCTGGACGGATGAGGGATGGATGAATGGGTGGATACGTGCAGGCTTGACTATTTCTTTCCACTTCACTTAAATGGAGAAAGAACTAGAGACATTTCTTTTAGATACACTATTAGAGTTTTTCCCTCAATTCCAGAGCTGACACCCTACCAGCTGGGCATCAGCCAAGAAAGATCCAAAAGAGATAAAATAAGGATACCCATTATCCATGACCACAGGACTCTTGTCTGCCCGTAACCACTCCTTACCTCCTGGGCCACCAAGTGGTAACAGCAGTCCAAACGTGGTCTTTCTCACCTGCTTTCTAGCTTTTTCCTCCCTGGCCTGGGCTTTCATCTGCTGAACTTCCAAAGAATCGGCTTTTCTTCTCCTCATAAAAAGGTCATGGTTCCCAATACACAGCTGAAGAATCTGTGGCCATGGGAGCGGGAGAAATGTTAAACCCACAAATTTACTTCACTGCTTACAGCTCACTGGTGCGGCAGCATCTTGCTCTGAGAGCCCTTGTGGGCACTAGGGAGCCTGAAGAGGAAGGCGCGGCTTGAAACACCAGAGCCCTACTTACGGCCTCTCGTGCTCTCAGCTCTAGAGACAGCAAACTGAAGGGGCCTCAGAGATGCTGGGGGACGTGAGGCTAGACGTTCACATTGTCTAGGCTCTAGAGAAAATACTGCCCATGTGCACCAGGAGGCAGACACAAGGATGTTTGTGACAGGCTTGTTAAGATGGCACAGAAATGAAAAGCACTTAATGTCCATTGATAGGAGAATTAAAAAAAATATATACCTGTAGCCAGATAATGGAATACCATACAGCGATGAAAACGAAGGGATTATATCTCTAACCATCAACATAGATAAGTCGAAAATAATGTGTGAAAAAAGCAAGCGACAGAAAAAACAGTTGCAAGCATTTATACAAAACTGCATAGTATATTCGTTTTGCTACAAAAATAAAGTTCTGATGTAAAGCAAGAGAATAATGAGCTTAGAATAATGATCACCCTTGAGGAGGAGAGGGGGGAACTGGCCAACATGCGGGGCTTCAACAGTATTGGGGTGTGCTATTTCTTAAAGCTAGGTAGTGAGCACAAAGGCATTTATTTTTGTTATTCTTTACGCATTATATATGTACATTATACACATTCTTATGTATGTATGAAGTACTTCAATAAAAATAATTTTTATAAATTCTTCATCAAAAAATTTAGGTTTGACTCTTTAGGTTAAGCCAAAGAGAAAAATCTTTCACGGCCTATCAAAAAAGCAGGTACCAAGATGTCATTCTGATATTCTTTCAAAAGGGCATTCAAGTCCTCAGAAAAACTGGAGCTACGAGTAATAAAACCAGGATCTCAACTTACCAGCTTGTTAACACGAAGCTTTGAGGAGTTAAACTTGAAGACATCAATTTTCTTATCCAATGGTTTAATAGTAAACTGAAAGAAGGAAGCAGATAACGGTTTCAGGTTGACAGCCTAGAATGTTACCACCAGCTGGGGAGTTTCACAAAAGCAGCCGCCACACTGGCGAAGATCCAGCACGAGGCTGTGCCTTGTCCTGGCTTCTTGGTGCCCAGGCACTAAAGCACAATGAACTTTGGTGAATTATAGGCATCTGAGGGTGCCAAGTCTAGGTCTGTGGAAGTTCAGGATCCTGGAAGGTGTGCTCTCAATACCATCTTGGGCTTAAAAACCTGAGTATAATCCCTTGACAGGCCCAAGCTCCCAGCTAACACTGGGAGGGCCACGCCAGGGTCTAAGTCGTGGCCCTGACTTTAGGAAGTTCACAGCCCAGTGAAACTAGACTAACAACAGTCAATTGCTGAAGAAATTACATCATTGGGTGGCACAAATCACCAATGTCCTGGGGGATTCAGAGTAATCTACCGTAAGTAGGAGGGGACTTAAGCTCGTGAAGAATATGACAAGAAAGTAAAAAGGTAGGACAGAAGGATATTCTAGACAAGGGAATGATAGAAATAAGGCAGAGATGGGCAACTGAGCAGAGAGAGAGTGTGTGTGCGTGTGCGTGTGCGTGTGTGTGTGTGTGTGTGTGTGTGTGGCGGGGGGGCGGCGTTATTAGCTCTTGACAAGTAAGATGATACCATGGGCTCAGGCTGGGAGGGAGGCTGGGTTGGGCTGGGGGGTGGTGAGGTGGCCTAGGAGCAGACAGAGGGGTTTAGATTCCATGTGACAGCATACAGGGAGTCACTCCAGGTTTCTGAACACAGGGATTAGGAGATGCAAGCTGATAACAGAACAGTGAAGTGTGAAGACGAAATCAAAGGGGAGAGAAAGATGAATGATAGGGAGAGGGTGGTAGCTTAGTGGGGGAACCCAGGTCCAGACCACGAAGAAAGGCAACACATAAAGAACAAGTGGCAACCGCTGTTGTCAACTATTCCTGATGAGACAAGACAGGTCTTAGGTTTCAAATATGCACTTAAAAAATGTGTTTGGATATTCCTGGGTATTTCTTTCTCATCTTATATCATTCAACAAGGAGTTAGCACAATGAAGACAGAAAATAATCCTTTGTTTAGCTCTCGGTCAAGTTAACTTAGAAGCGGTATCGCCCTTGTGTAGGCTGCTATTTGTGAATTTCGTGAGCTTATTTTGAGCCTTGCTGTCAAATCCCAGAGCTGTCAGTGGGAAACCGCAAGTAGTGGGGAAACCGCAGGCTCTGTGTCGTGCCAGGGCTGCACAGAGAATCAATGAATCACTTAAAATAACCAACATTTCTGTTTTGACAGCACGGCTGTCATACATACCTACTAAGACTACTTCCTATTATGTCAAGTCAGCTTGGGGTATTTTTACTGCGCGAGATATTGACGTGATGGCACACGGTGGCGCCTGGCCCTGGAGAGGGTGCATTACAGTTTATTATGTCCGGCCACAATGAGGGAGGCTTTAATCCTTGGGTTCTGGAAGAACGAGTGTTTTGGGAGCCTTTAGCACACAAATTTGTGGATGTGCAGTAAAAAGACTTTATAAAATTAGAAATGAAAAACTACCGTACCATGGCACACCTACTGCTTTAAGTCATGTGGAGCTTTCAATTTAAGTCCTTTAAAAAATAAATACTTTAAATGCTCATCTCCTGGGCTACTTACAAAAATTTGAAAGCCAGAATGTTTTGAGTTAAGAAGCTCCATCTGTCTCCTCAAGCACGGCCACGTAGATCTCAGCCATGTATTAGAAACCAGGGGCCTGCTGTTCCTTTCTTTGAGCTGCTATGAGAAGGGAGGAAACAGGAAGCCTGCCTGGGGCGGGGGCTCTGCTGGCAACGTGAGCCATTACTGCCATTACTGTTACCACCGCCACTCTCAAGCATCCTGGCTGTGTGGGCATCAGTATGTTGCTGAGCCCCATCCGGGCCTGCTCTCCTCTGCCTAGTGTCCTGTGGCTTCAGCGAATGTGGAGCTCAGCCATGCAACTCTATTCTCCAGACACGGGTCACTTGATCTCTCTACATCTCTGCTTCCTGTGACGTGACAGAGATAACCAAACACAGCCCCTGCTCTTCCAGCAGCGTTCTTGGGAGGACGGAATGAGTCAGGGTGATATGCTTGTACGGGCAAAAGCGGTATATTCCCATCACCTTCGTCGCTGTCCCTCACAGGGCAGCCATGTACCACAGCAGCCCAGTCGTTACTGGACTATAACTTCCTTGAGGGCTAAGACAGGATTTTCGACATCTTTGTTTCCGCTACGAGACCTAACACAAAGCAGATGCTCAATAATTCCTTTACAATGAACAAAGAATGAAGGAGTGAACAAATGAATGAATACAGGATCACAGCGTTTGGGAGAGGTCACCATCCTCTCTAGAAATATTTGAATTCCAACTTACAGTGTTTATCTAGTGTTTACCTAAGTAATTTAAACTTAATTATTCTCAAATTCTTGTAAGCAGGTTAGCCTGGTATCATTATTTATATCATTGTTGACACACACACCCACCCCCCTACATGTATCAAGCACTAGACACAGAGAGAAGGTTTAATACATACCACGCTTAAAATACAAAGAGAGTTCCTCCCCAGAAATAGAAAGCCAACTAATAAGAAAAGGTTACATTTTGCTTTGTTTACTGTTCTTTGGGGTTTAGTGCTGACAGGTTGAGCTTCCCAGCCTCCTGTTAGTCAGCAGAGGGTTCAGCGATGCTATTTGAAAATAGGGTGTCTTATACTGATCTGTATATACTATAAAAATCAACAACCCAAAACCCAAAGCCTGGGAATTAAATGGTTGTCTTGATAATAGGAGAAATCTGGCTGGGGATGCTTCAGCAAGGAGGAGAGAAGGGGAAAGACCTTCTGCTAGGCCACTGGTGCATCTGCAGCACAGATAATATCCTACCTCCTTGTCACTGTACGAGATGTTTCGGATTTCATTCCAGGGGAAGGATATCTTGGGTGTCAGCCTGTTCTCGGGATCATAGATGTGAAGCCCCAGAGCGTCCACTCCAAGCAGCAGCTCTGTCCCCTTTTTATTCTGTAGATTCAACAAAGAAGAGCTACTGTCAGCTCCACCTGAGCCTCGAGGTCTTATTCAACTTCCCCAAAGAGCTGGCACGTACTGTTACATATGACAAGTTTCAACAGGCCCCTACAGAAGTCACAGCTGTCTTGTAACCCAGGGGGCCTCTGTCTTCCTGAATTGAAGCAGGTAGAGGCAAAACTATACTATTTATGTGACTCACGTGTCCCATAAAGGGACGGCTGGAGGCTCCCATCACTGGCTCGTTGGCTAAAGTAGCAACAATCTAAGCATCGTTAGCCTCTAATTAAATAACCAGGTTATCATAGATGTAAAATAAAAACCTGCATGACTAATCATTTCTTATGTTAAAAGAAAAAAACTACTAGACTACCAGAAAGAAAGTTCTAAATGCTGAGATCAGATGGTCTTAGTACATGTTAAAATGTATCTTAACGTGATAAAGCAAGTATAATAAAATGTTAATTGTGGAATCTATACAATGGGTATATAAGGGTATTCATTGTAAAATTCTTTCAACTTTTCTGTATGTTTAAAATTTTTTATAATAAAATGTTGGGAAAATATATCAAAATGAATTATAAATTGTACCTCAGTAAGGCTGTATAAAAATGTAATCAACTCTAACGTACGTTGTACCTCTGATGGTCAGCGGTCAGAGCAGCCAGAGGGCGAGCACCGGGGCCTCTGGAGGCCGCACCCCCATGCGCAGGTCCATCCGCCTGCGCTGTGGTCTGGCCTTGGGGTGACGACAGAGGGAAGCTCCCTGCACAAGACTTAAAGCACGTGACCCCTCGCTGACAACAATGAGACTCAACCAAGACATGGATCTGCAAACTGAGACGGTGCTCGGACCGCGATGAGAAGCGCCAACCAAACAGCAGCTGTCACAGGGAGAAGTGAGCGCTCCAGGGTAATTTTTTTCCCTAACACCCCGAAGCCAGGTGTTATTACCAAACTGTGAGGGAGAGTCCTCTGCTCGTCGGCAAAGCTCTCCAAACTATGTACTATGTGAACACAAGTAAGCCTTTGTACTTTTAAAATCCATGGTATTTTGGAAAATGAGATATTTTATCATGTTTCTGACTATTTAGTTTAGCTTTTTTTTTTTTTTTTAAACGATTCCACCCTATGCCTCCTATCACTCTGTCTCCAGCATTTCAAAGAGAAAGAGAAGGAAACTCAAGGAGCCCCTTTTAAATTGCTTTAAGCACATATGTTCCTTAGTTGACAGTGAATTCAGGAACTTTTACACAAAGGACTAAAATATCCCTTAGCTGTGTCTATTGCACAATATAAGAAACCACACACACAAAACAGTGTCTGACTGCTATTAGACACTGTTTTTAAGCCTTGCAAAACACTAGTTTTCTAGAATCTAGGTTGTGGGCGGATGGAGCAGGAGAAATGGTGTTGACAAAACCACAGAAATGCATTAAATTGTTCTGATCCTAAAGAAACCAAATTAGCAAATACAAATAAATAAAACTTCAGAAAATTTAAAAAAATAAATTTTTAAAAAACTTTAGAAACTAATCTTCTGCATTATTATGGAAAATCTTGTTTTTATTTGTTTACTATATGACATATCAAAACTTGTCAGTGTGCCTTATTTTAAACAAAGTGATCCATTTAAAAATCTGTCTTTAGAAAACAAATCAGTAGACGGCTATGCTAGGCTATTTTAAATGTGTTCCAATTTACCCAAATTTAATATAAAACTTTAGGGACCCCCAAAAGGAAAGCAACCTTACTGCAGGGTTGTTTTAATATCTACTCTTCTACAGTCTGGAGCTCGCAATGAAACACTTTAGCAAATTCACAGGAGTTCCTCTGCAAGGAGCTGCCTCCAAGCTGCATCTAGCAGGGGACCCTTGGGAGAAAGGCTGGGAAGGCCCGACTGCCTGTCTGGTGCAGAAGCAAGGGGTTCCCAGAGGACAGAGGACTATTAATGGTCTGAACAGAAAACCAATTAGCCTGCTAGTGAGAACAAGAGTCCATACCCAAACAAATCGGTAATATTTAAAAGCAGCTTTACTCTCCTTGTGTCCTCGGGGGAAGAAAGTACTCACAGGTGCTCCCTGCGGGCCCAGATCTGACACAGCCAGAAATAATCAAATGTTGCACTCCGAGCATTCACACAGGTTTCTGCTCGGTGCAGGACCAGCCCCCACCCCCACCCTCCGCCCTTCTCCCAAGGCTCAACTCGCACTTAATTACCTAGGATCTAATTGAAGTCCAAAAATAGAAAATGAGGCTATAAGACCCTTTCCCCTCTTCTTCTCTTCTTCACCACTGAACCGTTAAAGAGTCTACCACCCTGAATGAGAAAGTAACCCATCTTAGCAGTTGGCCCCTGGTTCAGTCTGTTTATACAGGGGGAACTCGGAGAAGCCTCAACACACCCGGATTGCAAAGTAGTTCACGCCATACATCTCCAGGTCCTGAGCTATCTTCAAATATTCCATTTCAGCTTCGTCCCTGTGGGGACAATGAAAGACACTGTCAGTGAAGCTAAGCGAGAAAACGGGAGGGCAGGTGCACGCCAAGCTGAGCATTCACACCTGCCAGGAGACGCGAGCCAGAGCAGACTCCGGTGACGCTTGCCTAACCCCGAGTCTATTAAATACAACGAGGTCAAACAGAATCTCCCATTCCCATAAAAACAAGAACACAGATTCATTAACAGAGTCTCTTGGCTTCAATTCCACACTTTGCCCTTGGTAAATAGAGACACTCATCTGGTCATTCAAGAAAATCACATGGTATGTTATTGTCTCCCCTCAAATGGATTTGAGTGTTCAAATTTTATTTAAGTTGTTGCTTTATCTAATTGGGTTCTTTCTTCACTTAGAAGGTTTTGGTATTGAAACGACTGTCTGCAAGCTACTGGGAGCTACCTTTCTAATTTTCTCTTTGGATGTTGTTGGAGGTGAGAGCAAGAGCTACGTGGTCTATGAAAACCAAGCCAGGCCACTGACTTCTAAGTTGTAAGTGAAATGTAAAGTAAGCTCTTGAAGTAGCAATGACTTATAAAAAAAAACTCCCCAACGAGTACACTATTAAAATATTTTAAGTCAAGTCTCCCTATGACCTTGCCGCTTTCTCTCACTCTCCGATTTCAAAGTGCTCTCAAATGAATTTTAAAACTTCACGCCGAGAGAATGCCAAGTGTTAGCAAGCAGGTGAGGCGACTAGAAATGACAGTGGACACAAATTGGTACAATTACTTTGGAAATTGTTTGACATTATGTGTAATAGCAAAAGATGGGAGACAACGCGACAATGTAAACATCCATCCATAGCAGAATGGATAAATAACTTGTGGTTTATTAATACAGTGGAAGTCTACACAATAACGAAAGTGAAAAAAAAACCCCAACAAACTACTGCTACATGCCACAAACCCAAATCTCAAAATATGATGCTAAGTAGAAGTGACACACAAAAAATAGAAATTATCTGACTGCTTTAATATAAAGTTTAAAACAGACAACACTAATCTAGGAAGTTTGAAATCAGGAGAGAGGCTCCCTTTGGGGGAGGAGAGAGAGTGACGGGGGTCGTGTGCTGTCTTATTGCCTGTTGTTACACAGCATTTTCACTTTGTGATAACTCATCCGTCGGTATATTTATGGCTTGTCCACTTTTCAGTATGCATGTTATACTTTTTTAAAAGTTAAAAAAAAAGTGTGTTATAGGATGTTAATTTGAAGGAGAGAAAAAGAATGTTAAAGGTGAATGAAAAAATAATCAATTCCTAAAGTGATCGGAGAAATGCTGATTAATATTTAAGATACAATTTTGTATTACCTTTGAGATTATAAAAATTAAATCGATAAAAACAAGTGTTGGGGAGAGAATGGGGGTGGAGACATACATACGGATGGGCATGTAAATGCCCATCTGATACAACCTTTTTGGAAGGCAATTTGGTGGCACCTGTCAAAACTCAAAATGCTAATATCCTTTGACTCAGCAACTCTTCTAAAAACTCTATGGGCAGAGCCACCTGTACCATTATATAATGATATAAGATGGTATACATCGCAGAACATGTTGTAAAAGTGAAAAACCTATAGCTACACCAAATGCCATCAGGAGATAAATGGATGCAAACGCTATGGGATATCTATCCAATAGAATTCTTAAAATGAAACTAAATTACCAACGAGCCAACGAGTACAGCAGGTCTGTACATCTCGACAGGCAGTAAGTGCCTACAAGCACTAGAAAAAGGATACATACAAAGCCGAACACCGCCAGTATTACTCCCAGCTCTCTCTTTTCTTTTATATACTTCAGTAAAGCACTTTGTTCAACAAGCATGTCCTAGTTTTGTAGTTCTTAAAAAAAAAAAATCCCATAAAGAAATGTAAACCAAAAATAAAGCGTCCCCACCTGGCTCGGCCTCGGTGCTCTGCGTACCAGGCTGTAATCCTCTCCTCCCACATTTCTGGAGTCATCTGATACAGATTTATTACCTACCAAAATGTAGAGCAAAGTTAAAAACCCATACACAAAGAAAGCTTTGGCATTGTTTGCCATTTTTATAATTATGCATCGTTTTGACAAAACAGCACAGCTATTTTTAAAAACCCACATACAGGGAGACGGTCACACACACAGGGGTGGGTGTGTATATGAGCGCCATTCAGTTTTTCACAATTCAGAAAGCTGCACCATGACTCAGGCCTAGGTGCGCCCCTTGTCTGGCAGGGGTCCTGCTTTCCTGGGCCACACATCCCCGACAGAGGACCTCGGTCACGGCTGGCCAGCTGGGCTAGACTGTGCATGGTGCTGTCTTTGCCTGCCTGCCTGCCTGCCTGCACAGATGCTATCAAAGGAGCAGGTAAAGTCAGGGAAAGGTGAGCAGCAGGCCTTTATTACACATGATGGATGAGTGGAGCCGTAAAATCAGAAGCAGCGAAAGGGAGGGAGGGCCTGCTTCGTTGGCTAATGAACAAGATGAAAACCACCAAAGATTAAAAACTACAATGCCCACTCCTAACTCATCTCCTCTATCCACCTGAGCAGCTGCTGACCGTCAGTTCCCTGGGCTGTGAACACGTGCTGCTCCACACTCCTTCTTCGGGATCGCTGATGCCCACCCACTAAAGAATGGGCCATCTGCAGGCCACACTAGTCCTGGCAACCCAAAGCTAATCCCTTCCACCTTTGCTTTTTCATATTCTTAACAGAGATTCCATACTCTTTATTCAAGATTGAGTACAAAATATTTCGAATAATGTTCTCGCCATGTACTTCCATTATCCCTTCAAGTCCTTCGGTCAGCTTTCTTGTAGACCACATACCTGCTATGTCTTCCCAGGTTGGGGATTTGATTCCTTACCCTTTTTGGAAGCAATTCCTCTTGGGCCAAAAATCCCCGCTTGTGAACAGAAGGGTCATAGTCACCGTACTGGAAAGGGAAGAAAGAGAGAGCAAGCGATTGAGATTCGGAAGACAGCTGTCATTCCTGCACCGCTGGCCTCAGGCTCAATTCCCTCCCAGCTCCAGGGAGCAATTCAATTCTGATGACAAGTCCAGATTTCAACCTTGCTAGTTTGTTATCCTTGAATGAAAATACAAAGGTGATTATGTCTATAAACAGAGTTGCAGAATCCCTATGGGTGATGGGCTAATAAGAATGTGACATTTGTATGGAAAGGGAGCTGTGTTTTCTAGCCGGCAAAGAAAGCAGTCCCTACCAAAACAGGAGCTTTTGGAATGAAACAACAAACACAACTGTGAAAGTTGTGATTAGCAAGGTATGATAAGAGCCTTACCTACAAATGCTTCTAAGTGGCTGGTAATTGGAGCCAAAGGCTAGGTGGGAGCTGGGGATAAGGCTGGCAATATTTGTGATACCTTTCATTCAAGGCTATGAAAAACGCTCTAGAAGAATGTGATGCCAACACTGTCATTCACACTGTACAGACAAAGAAACGAGAGAGAGGCTGACTGGCTTTCCTAAAGGTGCAGAGTGAGGCACTAGGAGGGCCCGAAGCGCGCCATGCATTTTAATGTGTTCTTCCAGGGAATCGCTTGGAGACTTATTTTCTGATTTAAGAAAAATAACCCCTTTGTTTCTTAGGAAACTTAAGGCTGACCGGGAAACAATAAAAAATGATGGAATTTTAAAACAGAAACTAACTATAAAACAGAGAGGATATAAAATCAGGGCCTGTCTCTTGTCAGTCAGCCTTCAGTGGCTTTTCTTCTGACCAAACAGACAAAGCTCGGTATTTCAGTACGCTCTTCTATAAACATTTATCGTTTTAGTCACCAACACTGGAAAAACAAAAGGAAGGTCAGGCACAAGGCTGCTGGCTCCGTAGACCACTAAAGAGGGTCAGGATGTGGCCCACCCTGTCATTCCCAAAGACCCTCAAATTGGACTCCTGCTGTGTTCTTCAAATGAGGCCAGACACCCAGCAACATCCACTCACGTTCGTCAGCAACTTTAAACTGAATCTCATTCCCATACCATCCTACTATAAAAGCCTCACAAATTAATATTTCTTATGCATCACACAATTATCTTACAAATAGCAGAAAGGCATTGCATTGTTTTTTGAGTACTAACGGAATTAATTTGTCAAATTTAAACACAGATTTTGTAACCCCGTGTAGGGAATTCTCCATTTAAAAATACTTGAAGGAACCTGGTTTGCCTTATCTCTGAACAGCCTGGGGATGTAATAAGTCAGTAACTTGGAGCTTTAATGGCACTGTCTCGGGAGACAGACGGCTTAAGGTTCAATCCCAGCTTTTCACTTGTTAGCTGTGACCTCAGAAAACCAGTGTCTCCATTTTTTCATCTGTAAAATGGGGATACTAACTGTATTTATCCTACAGGGGCTCGCAGGGGCTGCTGAGGATGAAGTGCGGCAATCCGGGCGAGCGTTTTGCGTAGTGCCTGGCTCATAGTTAATGTCACATACTATTGTTACCCTCCACATTGTTTATAATGACACTGGTTACCGGTTGCCTCTGATTTTTGAAGGGGTAGGATGCTCAGGAAAGCCCTGTTAGTTGCATTTGCAAGCTTCTCTAGAGTGCTAATCAAGCTCTAACGCAAAAGGAAGCAGACAGGCAAAGTTAAAGTTGCAAATTCAGGTTCCAAAGGCTTGTGAGGTTAACAGTCCACATTATCATACTGAGCCCCCAGCTACTCCATGGATCAAGCAGGTTACATCTGAGCGATGCAGAGGCTGCAAAGATCCCGCTGAAAGGACTTGCCAGTGGACTAACTCCATTTACAACATTAAAGCCACCTTGATGTATGTGTCTGTTCTTACATGTCTCTTTAAAAAACAAAAGAACAAGAAAATCCTTAAGTTGTGGCAGTTGGTGACTATAAAAGGACGTCATTCCACACCATAGATGGAGATGGATGTTCCTCTTCCTTTTATGTACAAAAGCGTTCAGATAATATCACCAGGACTGGATTTACTGCGAAGCTAATGGAGCTGGGGTTTCAAGTCTCCGCACCTAATTTTATCTCCTAATTTGCATCCTTGCATTGAAAAGAACCCTTAAATGATATGAACTTCAAGCCCCACAAAACCTGGGTCCAGCCCTGATATAAACCAATTGAATTTAAATTCAAGAAAGGAATTCACCATTTACAGGATTCCTGGAGTCAATTCTTAGGTTAAACAGAGATATTTAATATCCTTCTGGATGTTTAAATACTGTCTTCTGCCTGTAAGTATGGACAATTACACCAAATGCTCTGAACAGGAGTTCACAAAACATAATGATTTAATCAATACATTTACAGCATAAATAATTAGATCCCTACCACACACCAGTCACTAAAATACAGATGGATTAAAGACTTCAACCATAAATGAAAATCCATCAAAATACAAGGACAAAATGCAGAAGAACATGTGTATAATAATGGTGGGTGAAACCATTCTAAAAGTCACTCAAAACTTAGAAACAGAATGACAGTCTGAAACGTAAAAAAAGATAAAAGGTTAATACCCATCATATATAGAACTCCTAAAATCAACTAGAAGATAAACAATAGAGTAGAAAAACGGGAAGTCATAAACACTTCACTCACAAAGGAAAGAAATACAATGGTCAGTAAATCTAGGAAAAGAGGCTCAGCCCCAACAGTAATCAATGAAATGAAAACTTTTTTAAAAATCTATTTTTTCGGTCAGATTAGCAAAAATGTAAAAGGCTAACAGCATCCACGAGGATGTGAAAAAACAGGTATTCTATCACACTGTGCTTGGAGGTTAAATTAGGACACTTTTGGAGGGCAATTTGGCCATACCTTTTTTTTTAGATAAAATTTACATACATAAAATTCACCATTTGAAGCATATAATTTAGTGGTTTCCATTATATTCAGAATGTTGTGCAACTATCACTACTATCTAATTCCACAATATTCCCATCATCTCTAAAAGCAGCCCTATACCCACGAGCTACAGTAACTCCTATTCCTCTCCTTCCACCCCCAGCCACCACGAGATCTACTCTCTGTCTTTAGGGGTTTGCCCATCGTGGACATTTCATATAAATGAAATCACACAATGTGCAGTCCTTTGTGTCTGGCTTCTTTCACTTAGCATTATTTAAATTTTAAATGTTCTTATCCTTTGACCCAGTTATACTATTTCTTGGTATCTATCAGAGAAATATTGTTCATATTCAAGGATGTTTGCTACATCCTTCTAAATAATAGAAAAAAATAATAGAAAGAAAGACAAACCTAAATATCTACAAAAATAAAGAGATTTTTAAACAATCTGGAGTCCCTCCTTTTTATGAAAAATAGTTTTAAAAAAATGAGATGGGTCCATCTGTTCTGACAGTTTTAAGTGAAAAGGGCACATTGTACAGGAGTCCCTGTGGAGTAGTAGCATCACCTAGAAGTAGAATTTTGGGAACTCAGGGGTCTGTCTCCTCACCTATCCCTCTACAGAGATTATGCCAATTCACAGTTCCTTCCAGCAAGTAAATGAGTTTAAACAATGCTTCTATAGATTATTAATCCTTGTCAATCTTAAACATTTGGAATGTTACCTATTGTTCTTCTAGTTTTTCCTTCTTTTGATTAGTAGTGAGATTGAGCATCTTTTTGTTTAGAAATATTTTTTAATTGATTGTAGAGAGAAAGGAAGGGAGGGGGAGGGAGAGACAGAGAGAGCCCTCGATTTGTTGTCCCACTTGGTTATGCATTCATTGGATGCTCCTTACGTGCACCCTGACTGGGCTCAGACCCGCAACCTTGGTGCATCAGGACTGCACTCCAGCCAACTGAGCTACCCAGCCAGGGCTGAGCATCTTTTTGTATTTACTGATCATTCTTAGTTTTCTCTTCTATAAAGTACCTATTGTTCATAATCTTTGTGCCCAATTTTCTGCTACCTTTTTCTTATAAACTTAAGAGTTCTTTATATTCAGGGATATTTGTTCAATTCTACTTCTAGAAATCTACCTTAAATGGAAAAAGCTTTTGTGCATTTATACCAATAATCACATAAAACGATTTTTAGTAAAGCACTGTTTATAATAGGAAAAAAGTAGAAACTAAACCTACCTCTTCCTCAGAAGGAAGATGGATAAATAAACTAGGTTTATTCATCAATAGTTACCATACAGTGGTTAGAATCAATGCGCTAAATCTATACATAAAACATAAATATACCTTAAAATCAATGTTGAGTGGGGAAAAAAGTATTATTTTGTAAAAGGATATGCAAAAAAAGATATGCAGAATATAGCACCATTTATATCAACTTTTATCGTCTCGATTTTTTGAAGTCAGCCTCCTCTCCTAGTCAATTTACCACAGCCAGAGGTTTGAACCTCCTAGTGTCTCACCAGCCTGACCACCACAGCCTGCTAACAGGTCTCCCTGTTTCCAGATTTGTCTCTCACTCCAACATATCCTTCACTAAGCCAACAAAAATCTGTCTAAAATATAAACCCTTCACTAGCTCTTTATCATCCACAGGATAAAGTTAAGACCTTTTATGATCTAGCCCCCGGCAGATAGCTCCAGCCTCATCTCTTGGCACTCTACATATACTTTACATACACCCAACTTCTCGATTGCCTTTTGGCATCCTGCCCCTAATTTGTATCCAAGAATACTTACTGGGAAACAATAAGTCTCCTCTCCCACAATTCTTTGCTTTCTCTGAACACTAGGAGTCTGCAGGCTTGATAAACTATATACCATTCCAGGAGCACTGCAAGATTGAAAAACTATATACCTTTCTCTCCCAAAGTCATTTTTAATAAGAACACACTTCAAACACCAAATTGTCAATATAAAATCCCATAGGTGGGCTCACAACATTGCAAGATAAGTTTGCTGTGCCACACAACTGAACCAAAAAACCAGCCCATACTTTCGATTCAAGTGTAACTCAAACTCCAACTAAGAAATGTGGTTCTTGTTAACTGAACCATGTGATTAATATTTGTATTTATACTTTGAGGGTAATTGTTTCTTTATGCTTTGGAATTAACTGTGTCTATATCATTCAAACAGCTCAAACACTGTAATGAATACATTTGTGGATAATTACATTCCCTGTGTTAATGAGCTCAATTCGCTTTCCCCTCCTTACTTTCTAAAGTTCCTTTCTGTTTCAGAAAGGTTGTGGAAGAAAACAAACTGAACATAATGGAGGGAACCGGTGTAATTTACTGAAAAGTTTGGACTAATGTGACCACGTAAGTGAATCTGGGATTTAGTGAATGGCAGTGCATGCTGCCCAGAGACCTCCCTCAAGCACGAGACAGCGAGGGGCAAGAGCAGAGCACTGAGTGGACAAGGAGACACTGGCTTCTCACCTGGCTCCATTCTCTAGTTCTGCTCTGCTTCAAATCCTGTCCATCAAGGAGGAGGGTACAAACTCTACTTTAAAAAAGAGAATTAACCTAAAGCACTGTGACTTTAGACAAATGATTACTCCTTTCTGAGCCTTAAATGACTCAGCTATAAAACTGGCATAATACTTTCAAGCCTTGGCTTGCAGCAAAGACTATACTAAGTACCGCACGAAATATTCATGTTATAACACTTTGTAAAACTGTAAAACACTACAGGCATGTAACATCTTATTCATATTGTAATCAGAGATATCCTTTTAACATTAAGCAGCAGACCTGGAAACTGGAAGCATGTTATATAATAACCCTTAGTTTCCCGAATGCAGACTTGAAGTCACAGATTAGCTTTATTTATGAGACCCTGCGAATTTACACCGGAAAAAACAGCACATCCTCCTCCATATGAACCACATATGCTCTCTGTGAATCACTTTCATCTCTAAATTAGCAGGACCCAAATTAGTAGAGTTTTCCTACAGTGAAATCTGTTTAAGCAAACATCTGCTGGTTCCCAGAAAAGTTTTTTTTGTTTTGTCCACCCCCCCCACAGGTGGCCTTTGAATTTCTGGCCCAAAATCCATGCAAAGAAAATGTAGCCTTTGAGCTGGAAGCCCTTCAAGGACAGGTAGTATCCTTGAGAGCTTGGGTCTCCTCTCAGCTGGGGAGAAAGCGTGCTAAAAAGGAACTCAGTTCCGGGCCAGGAAGTGCTCGGATTTAATGAGAGTGACAATGACTGCTTCATCACTGTCAGGGTGATACTGATTGAAAGGACACATTTTTCCTGTTATTAATATTCTTAATCAAAGCATAAAAGGAAGCATATGTTTTAGCTGAATCAAGGCCCACTTTCTCTTTTTTTCAATTACTCATTTTTCTGGGCAGTGAAATAGGGGAGGCACAAAATGTCATCCCAAAGCCATGAATTCTGCTTTTCGCTTTACCCCAAGAGGAGCCGAATGACCCTGGGCAAATCACCGAGGGCAGATACTTGCGTTCGTGTCTGTGCAGTAACAGAGTCAACACTGTCCCCTCCTCAGGCCAGCGAATACTCAGCGAATGTCAGGCCAGTCATCAAATGATTACGAGTCATCAAATGTCTCTGGTGCTCTGTCCGTCTGACTAGCACGGACAGACTTTTCCGCCCTTCCAAATGACAGGCCAGTGATTTCCTGTCTTTGAGCTGAAATTGTATTAATTTTTGGGAAATGGCTTTTAACTAAAAAGGAAAATAATAACAAAAGATGATACAAAATCACAAAAGTAATCAAGGTGCCCTAATTCTGGGATTTCTCATGCTGCGGTGAAAGGCAGTGAGCAAAGGGACCAAGAGAAAGTGGTGTGTGATTGAAGTGGAAACCTCGGGGGGCGTTAGGCCCCCTGGGCTGACCCTGTAATTGGCCTCATAAAAACACAGAGGACAAAAACACAAGACCATCGGTCTCCCTTTCATGGGAACCTCAGAGTCTCTCACCAGGATGTGACCTCCCTGGGAATGCCTTTCTGCTCACCAGACGGCTCAGGTGGGCTCAGTGGGCCAAAGAGCTGCGGTACCGCGCCATAAGCAAGGTGGCACGCCCGTCAGGGCGGATGAAGCGGGGCACTCTCTAGGGTACGGTGAGGCCCCCACACAACAGGGCGGCTGGTCCTCAGAAGATGAGTTTGCAATGAGAACCTGGACCTTTCTCAACTAAAGGCCACGTCTGGCCCAATCATCAGTTCACTTTTTCTGGTTAATAAAAAGAGAGGCTGGCTCCCGTGGATGTAAGGAACCACATGTGCACAATGAGATTACACAGAAAATTTCTCAAGCTCTACACTTACTTGTACACACAGTCACAAGATTATACAGCAGTGAAACACTGATACTTGGTTCCCCCAGGTCACAAGTTCCATGGCCTCTCACTTGCTGGGGGAAGTCCCTTTGAAGTCAAGAAAATCCCAAGAAACCGGCAACTGGAGCGACCCTGTGACACACGTTAATGCCTGGGGAAAAGGAATTGTTCTTCTCGGAGCCTACCTTGGCCTGGACGGCGTAGGAAGCCAGCAGCACAGAAGCCTCAGGAGGGCAGTAGATCTTTTCATCTAAGATCTGCTTCTTTACCTGAAAGGGGCAACGAGGGAGACATGACACCGTGTGCCTGGAAGTGGCCTGCAGGCTGGTCACAGCAGGTGGCTGCAGCGTTCTGCCGAGGGCTGCCAAGCCAGCCTGTTAATGATTTTCTGACAAAGGGTACATTTTTTTTTTTATTGCTGCAGACAGGTTGGGAGTTCAGCCACTGAGAACTTATTGATAAGATGGCCATGCGTAAAAAACCCTTATCTGTTCTGTTCATGATCAAATGCTGAAGAGGAAAAACAATCCTCATGGTTAAAACAGAGACTAAACATCTGGGCTGTGACAGAAAAGAGCTGTGAACTTGACAAGTGTCAGGAGCAGCTCTGGTGGTGATTGCAGACTGGGCCCTGCTGAGCACACGCGGCACTAGAGGAAATGGAGTCTACTTTTAAGTCTTAACACGAGATAAAAGTCAGCAAGACCACTGAGTTATGACTGCAGAAAAAAATCATCGCTTTCAATATGCATGCTCTAAGGAAAAAGGAAGCAATAAAGTGTGATTGATTAAACTTTTAAGTACACATGAGGTCCAGGAAATATAATTCTTAAGCCATAATGTTGAATTAACATATCTCACTGCATTTAATTTCTTAGAATGGTGCAGTGTGAGCTGTTCCATACACAGAGGCAAGCGAGCCACACGAAGTGGGGGCACACCAAAATAAACACAACAGGAAAGCCAACGCTCTTTCCACAGATGTCAACAGTCACCAGATTCATAAAAGTAGGAAACTTTGCCTTGCTCAGCCATGAGAACGCTCCCGCATTTCAGTGCGAGGGAAAATTAAGCTAAAGTCACATGAGCGGCTTCCAAGAGCTTACAAGAAATTCATCTCTATAACACTAGGACATTCTGGGGCCTAGGAGATCATCACGTGGTTTCCTTCAAAGCAGTGTGACTTCCTAATCCCTTGGTTTCTTTTCAAAGGGGAAAAATGCCACACTATAGAAAAACTGAAAGGGCTTCCCTCTGAGTGGAAAATATTAGGATGGAGGAGTATGCATGGTCTGTCCAGGAAAAGTCCAGCCATTGTTAATAGAATGAGAATGGTTTGCACATCATCGATGTAACCTGGCAGCCAAGGACAGTGGACTGGAATGTGCATGGATGAACAATGGTGGCTTCACTGTACTAATCAGTGGGGGCCATAGATGCCATTGAGCGAGCATGTGTACTGTGTGGCCGTCAAATTCAAAATGACCGAACAAGTAGAGCAATGAACGTGCTTCAGATTTTGCATTGAGTTTGAACACTCCTCTGTAGGAACTATGCAGATGATTCAGAAGGCTGCAGCTCTGGGCAACTGGTGACTGGCAGCTTCATCACGACAATGTGCCCCCTCAGGCATCACGTCTTATGCAGAGGTTTCTGGCCAAACATCAAATCACCCAGGTGACTCAGCCCCGCTCCAGCCCAGATTTATCACCCTGCAACGTCTCGCTTTTCCCAAAAGTAAAATCACCTTTGAAAAGGAAGAGATTTCAGACTGTCAGTGAGATTCAGGAAAATATGATGGGGCAGCTAATGACATTTGGGAAACCTGTGGGAGGCCCCAAGGTGCCTACTTTGAAGGAGACTGAAGCATCATTGTCCTATGTACAACGTGTCTTGTATCTTGTATCTTCTTCAATAAATGTCTATTTTTTGTAGTACATGGATGGATACTTTCTGGACAGAACTTTTTGTGAGAGAGCGTGTGTGTACACTTTTCTTGCAAAACTTCCTTTGGTAAAAAAACTATTTGGGAGGCCCCGGCTGGTGTGGCTCAGTTGGTTGGAGTGTTGTCACATAACCAAAAGGTTGTGGGTTCAATTTCTGGTCAGGGCATATACCTACGTTGTGGGTCCAATCCCCCATCCAGGTGCCTATGGGAGGCAACCCATTGTGCTTCTCTCTCACATCAATGTCTCTCTCTCTCCCTTCACCTTTCTCTAAAAAGCAATGAAAAAGTGTCCTTGGGTGAGTATAAAAAAAATTCCTTGGGGGGTTTTATTACGTTTAACTTAATATTTCCTGAACATAATGATCTGAGGCTCAGACTAATCATGGGAGGACTAAGTGACAGACTATATATCTAATTCTGGGAAATCATGTAATTAACACCCCTGCTGCCATCTTTTCCATCACTGAGAGTGGTCACCTTTGGGCACACAAGCAGCTCCAGCGCCAGTCACGGTAACGAACCGTGAAAACTGGGGAAGCGCTCTGATCAAACAGTAAGGTCACAAGCAAAACGGAGACGGTTTTCACCCTCACACCAACCCCCTCCTCACTGTGCCCTCAGATGGTCAACTAGCTGTCTTTGAAACTCTTACTATGGATCTCCTAATTTCTTCAATTTGGTTGAGCGCTTACTTATGGAAGGTCTACTTACTGTGCACTCAGTGAACCCTGCCTTTAAGGAGCTTGTAATCTGTGAGGGGATAAGGGAGAAATAAGACATTACAGACAAACAGTAGCATAAAGCATAATGTCTGAAGTTCCATGTGTGTGGGATTAACCAGGTGTCACTGGAGGTCTGAAGTCCTACCTTAATGAGAACAGATTTTGAACTTTTGGGAGAACTATTCTTTATAAGACTCTCTAGGCTTCCTTTGCAGCTCTCGAGAACTTTCAAGTTAGTGAGAAGAAAACAGGATCTATCTTCAAAAAGGTTTCAAATTAGGTAGCTACTTGTACCCATTCTTTTTTACTTTTTAAAAAAGATTTTATTTATTTTTAGAGAGAGGGAAAGGGAGGGAGAAAGTAAGGGAGAGAAACATTGATGTGAGAGAGAAACATCAGCTGGTTGCCTTTCACATACCCCCAGCTGGGGACCTGACCCACAGCCCAGGCCTGTGCCCTGACAAGGAATCAAACCAGCGACCTTTTGGTTCGCAGGCCGGCACTCAGTCCACTGAGCCACACCAGCCAGGGAATGCCCATTCTTTCACCATCACACTTTTGCAATTTCATCTAACACCAATTCTCATCACTCAAATATAGTTCTAGTCTAAAGATTTTTCCCATTACAGAACCAAAAGGACTGACTCTCCGGAGGTGGAACATTTTCACAGCGTGAAGCTTTTCTGGTCAGCTCCAAGGGGTTTGTCCAGGCCACCTCTGCAACCGGGGCAGAGTGAGGTTTCCCATAATTAAGGGATAGCACAGGCTAGTGTACCTGCAAGAAGAATAAATGTTGCGTGATCTCCTGAACCAGCTCCTCCTCGGCATTTTCAGGATAAAATTTGGCCAGGAAGTGAAAGGTGACTGGCTCTTCCTTTGAAACATCATGATCCAGCACCTGCAGAATCGCAGAGCAAAAGACAGACAAACTATGTTGGCACCTCTTCCTCTCATGCCCTTATCAAACAAACTTTTTCAGGGAGTGTATAAACATTTTTCCCCTCTAAATTCATCACATTTCCCAAAGGTTGTGCGATTCTTCAGTTTGAAGCTCTCTCTATAACAAGAACTCACTTCAAACGGCATTTCTGAATCAACTTAATTAATATCCCCAAGGGGTGAGTAGAGCTAAGATTTAGGCACAAATGTTCCCAAGGCCACAGAGATTGTTAAAAATTAGAAATTTATGACTTAGAGGTCTTGGGCATTACGCTTTATGGTAGGCGGAATGTTTTTTAATTTTTTTGAAGCAGTGGAATATTTCTTTATTCTTTTTTTGCTGTCAACCCCCAACATTTAGGTCTACATTGGAATGGAGCTTAGGATGATGAACTACATCTTTGTGACATCAGCTAAACATTAACTAAGCAACAGAAGTGAAACATGTCCATCGTGGCAACTCTTTGTTTTAAGGAACCTCTAGAGATGCCCCACAAAATACTTGAGCACAGTCAGTAAACCACACTTCCTTTAATCTTCTAACAATTTCATCCACCCACTGAAAAGCCTGAACCATCTGCTCTCCAGAATGAATTTCATTTCAGGCCATAAACATGCCATGTGACAGGCTCCAAGTCTCCATTAACATGTGTCATAATTTATTTCCTTTGAGCAGCAGGTATTGTGGCTCCTGATGCCCCCAATCTAATATCCATTTGGCCAACACTCATGTAAATTCAAAGTAGATTTAAAATTTACTTTGCTGAGAATCACAAAAGGATACCGAAAGTCCTGCTGCCTTTGATAGATAACTTTCCATGCCCCTGCCCATATTTCAATTGGTGGTGCCCAGGAAACTCAAAATAAACATGATCTGGGACAACCTTGCTAACACAGGCACACAGTGGACACTTTGATCTTCATGGTCGTTGGGAATTAGCATATGAAATTTATGATCAGCAGGAATTCTAACATGAAGATTCAGATTAATGTGTACATATGTAAATAATTTGAACACTCGAGTTTAAAGTCAAACTGATACAAGAGAGGAGGCTTTTATTGTTTATCATGCCACATAATAGATAATAAACTCAGGTGGGCAATTGCAGGGGATTCCATTTGGGGCAAGAATTAGACACTGACTTACTTTGAGACCCAGGTGCCTTTTAGGAGTTACTGACGAAAGCATATGGCCCTGTTCTCAACCATCTTCATGGTTAGGTAGGTAGGTAAGTAGGTAAGTATGTGTTTGTCTGCACATATGAAGCCACACAGAGGACCGTTTCCCTAGGAGTATTAATCTCTCAGCCACACGAGAACTGCTGGGAGCCCACCCCTGTCCAGGCCTCAGAAGCCCCAGAGAATCATGAGGACTAAATGAACAGCCTGCCTTCGCCACCGTGACCAGGGCACTTTGTATTCCTTAGATTGCGTTCATGATTAAATTGAGTTGGGCCACAGCGTTTCTCAAAAAAGCTTTTAAAATTTCATAAAGCACATGAGCCCCAAGAAAATCTTTCAAAGACATATGTTATAAACATATATATGTAATTTTTATTCATAAAGCCTGACCAGTGGCTCGATAAATTGAGCAGCATAAAGCCAGAAGCACTCAGCCTGGTGACCGTGAGTAAAGAGGCCAGGGATCGCAGCAGTTTGATCGTGGCTGGTTCTGCTTGCCCAGGAGAGCCTGTGAGGGGCAGTGAGCCTGGGGCATTTCGAGGACCCGCTTTCTCCAGGACTTGCCCCTTTCTCTCTCTATCCTGTATCCGTCATGCCCCATGATGAGCAAATACCCTGGGCACGTGCTCAGGGAAGCACACACCAGCCCCACTGGTTTCATCCAGTTCCAGCCCAACCTTCTTGTCCATTTTGAGCCAGGCCACGGTGTCCTTGATGGTGTACTGCAGTCCAAAGAACCAGGTTTCCCGAAGCCCCAGGGTCCGGCACACCAAATCAAATAGGTCCTTCCCTTTCCACTTCATCTGCAATGTGACGAACCAAAGGGGAAAACATTGTGAGCAAAAGTCATAATCTGCTCGCACAAAAGCCTCTCCTCTGCACGCTCTACTCTCAGATTCCAAAGTGTGGAGATGACACCAAGATGGCTGAGGAGCACAGAATTCCCAAATAATTTTAAAGCTTCCTACGCAGAACCATGAGTGGGAAAATACCAATTAGACTTTAATGGCTTAATCACTGCAAAGCATACACAATACTTCCCTTGGACAGGTCCTTGCAGACCTTAACATCCCCAAAGCTAATTTAGGGAAGCTGGCAAATAAGCATCCTCATTTAGGAGAGTCTGGCTTCTGGAGTTAACCCAGGGAGGTGGCTAGCTTCTAGGGACACTAATTTCCTTGAGATTTTATCATTGATTTTTCAAAAAATTATGACTCTGCCCTTTCATAAAAGCCTAGTGCTGTGTGTGTGTGTGTGTGTGTGTGTGTGTGTGTGTGTGTGTGTGTGTGTTTAATTTAAGGGCCGGTTTTACTAGAAGTGTTTTGCTTTGGTTTTGTTTTTTTTTTAAGCAGCATAGGAAAGGAAGTTGTAACTAAAGTCATAAATAATGGAGGAAAAAAAAAGCCTAGAGACCAGTGAGTCCAATCACAGGTCTCTTGTCTCATGATGAATAACTGAGGCCAAAGTGGAAGCAGCTTGCCCACAGTTACACAGAGCAATTTCAAACTCTCAGTATCTGAACCAGGGGATGAATAGACACCAATATACTGTAGTGTACTTATCCTATAGCCTCACTTTCAAAAAGACCTGAAGCAATGGCTGCTAAATCCCTTCCTCAGCTATTCAATCTTGTAGCTGGAAAAGCAAGTTCAACATCTTAATAGGGGAAGAAAATGCCCATCAGTTTAGTAAATGTTGCCACCTTGTGGCTTTCAAGTTAAATCACCCAAGATGTTCCCATACTACCCCATAGCTGCTGCTCACCCCCTATCCCCAAAAGCCCCCAAATACCAGGGAGGCACTCAAATGTACACCTCGTACAGTTATGAGCATATGAGACATATATGCTCATATGTCAGTGTCAGTGGTCATAGTAAGAATGATCTTGGGATTCAACTACAATGTCGCCAGACACCAGAAGAACAAGACCAGTAGACTGCACACACATCGGTCCTTCTGCCCCCGGAAATCCCGCAGTTCCTAGCACACTGAAGATGCATAATGGAAAAGAAAGGGGAAAAAAAACCCAGAGTTTAGAGACTTAATAGAAAAAGCAAAAAGGAAAAAATAAGTTAGGCCTCTAATATCTGATTGGCTTTTGCTAAAACCTGATTCTGCAGAGGATTTTTCAAGCAGGTCTTCTGTTTTTAATCTATGTGAATGAACAGGGCGCTCTCCATGAGGCACTCAGCATCAGCGCCCATCCCTCTTCCACGCTTGCGGTCAAAGTCCAAGAGCCAAGGAGCAACCTAGATGGAAGGACACCAAAACCGCAGCAGACAAGTGGTTCAGATACGTATTGGCTTTCGTCCTTTCATCAGGGCCATGCCTCCTATCTGTCCTTCTAGCTCTGCCCTGTCCCCTCTCTGTGACTTTAGTGAGGCCCCTGGAATACTACAAAAGTTGAAGTCTTTTGAAATTATATTGTGTGGAATAAACTGACTAATTTTATTTTAAAAAGATGATCTCCTTCCCCTCTTGTGAGGCTTAATAACGTTTGCTGGCACACCCATTTCCCAGTCTGACAACGGGACAAAGGGCTTTTTAATTCACGGCAGGTTTCAATTCCTACAGGCAGACTTCACTGAAGAAACGTTATTTTGGAAAACTAGAAGCTTAAGGATGCTGATGATTCTCTTGTCTCTGTTTTAAGCCAGTACACAGAATATAAATTATACATGACTACTTTGCTACAAGATAATGTAACAATAAAGAACAGGCAGTAACTTGGAGAAGTTAAAAACCCAAGGGCCAAAAAGATCAAGGTAACGATTTCAAATCCCCCGTAACTCACGACCAGAGCCAGGCCGGGCTTTGGCACAAAGGAGCTGTCTGCAACCGGGATGTCTAAAGGAAAACTGCAAAGAGAACGGTGAGTGAATTTCCTGACTTGGGAGTTTAAATTCTCAACCACAATATCATATTAATGCAATTTTCTTGTATTCCTTTCTACTTCTTTGTTTTTAAAATGCAAAACTATCTCCGTTGAATGCAGAGGCAATGTCTTTGTTCCCATGGAACTGACAATAAAGTGAGGAGAGGGGGAAAAAAACCTCACATTGATTCAAAATGCCCTACTTAGGTTTTTAACTTTGACTCTAAGAGTCGCAGAATGTCAGAGTTGGGAATAAGCCTACCTACTGGGTCTACCCACTATAGACCCATTCTGTATAAATAAGGAAACGGAGTTACAGATCCTTTGGCAGCCCGCTAAAGCAGACACTGACCTTTTGCACAGTGATCTAGAATAGGCAATCCCTAGATCCTCGATCGCCTTTTCTCCTGTTCTGTGGGGTTCCTCTCCACTAGAACCCCCCAGCCACCTCTTCCAGGAGGTAACCGGTATCTTAACACTCTTCTCCCACCCTAAAATAAAACCCATTCTCAGAGGCGCCCAATACTGCTCCTTTTCAACTCAGTGTTGAGTTAATGCTCTGGGCCTCTCACTTATTCTTTCAGAAAGCATCACAGAGCATATGCTATATGCCGAGCAACGTCAGACACTGAGGATGCCCAATGGTGGGAGCATGGTCCACGCAGGAGACTCAAGCAACGACTCAGGCCAGAAGAGGCTTTAGAGGACAGTGAGACATGAAAGAGGAAAGGAAGTCTTTTAGAAAGATAATAATATCTACAGGGCGCTGCAGGTCATCTGGTAGAGCGGAAACAGACGGCCTGAATTGGGGCGGGGGCGGGGGGTGGAGGTTGTGGTGAAAAGCGGGGCATGATGTGGGGCCAGGTGGCTACCCAGGGGTCTTTGAAGACTTTTGGGCGAAGGAGTGATGGGATCAGATCAGATTCTGGAATGTGCTCCGACCGACAGGATGGAGAATGAGTTGGAGGGACAGAGCCTAGAATCCATGAGGACAGAATGCAGGCTAGGTCCTGCCTTAACAAAGGCAGCAGGAGGGAGAGGACACGGCCTGAGGAATGGGAAGAAGGCATCACAGGACTGATGCCTGAGCGCCCGTGGGGACCCAAGGAGAAGGAACCAAGGACACCTGTGTTTCCGGCTTGAGCACCAGGTGGTACCTCTACAGGGACAGGGAACACAGGAGAAACAGCAAGTTGTAGGGGGAACAGATGAGCAATTAAATTTTAGACGAGATAAGTTAAGGTGCCTGAGGAAACCAGGTAAAATGTCCTAAATACATTTGATTTAAAGTCTTAGCTAAAATAAAATGTTCACTCTCTAAGCAATTAAGAAGTTTTCTTTTAGGGTAAATCTAACCACCAACATGTTGTTTACTTACCTGAGGATGTACTTTTCAACATGCTCTCCCCGAAACACACAAAGCTCACTTAGTTGTCCTAATCTGGGTTTCTACTTCTTTACGAACAAGAACCATTGGTCGCGGTTGCTCCAAGGGGTTCTCAGGACACCCTGTTCTCAGGTCTTGGGTTGTGACTGGGGCTTCCTTGGTGATAGCCAAATCACCAGAATGTGACCGTGCTCATCTTTAGAGTTTTAGCGGGGACCCGCTGCACTGTGCTGATGCTATGAAGTGATCTGAACATCTGGATATCTCCCTAGATTGTAGGCCCCTCAGAATAGAACAACATCTGTCACGTCTCTGCTCCCTACAGTGCCCAGCCGAGTATGTACCCATAATGCACAGCAAACAATGGCTGCCCGACGGAAGACCTGACTACTTCAAAAACCCAAGGCTCGAAAACTTAGAGCAAAATGAACCTCCATCCAGCCCCTCCTTCATCAAATACTGGGTGAACACCCAAGGTGTCCAAGCAACAGCCGAGGAACAGGGGATAAATGGGGAACAAAAGAGATAGCCTCTACTCTCACAGAACAGGTCTAGGGCATGAATCAGTCAGGAGCAAATAATCACCTCCTTCACCCCACATAAAAATCAACTCCAGGTGAGGTTTTCAGCACTGCTCCACTCGTCACTGCCACAACAGGGACACAGAGGCTGTAGGGATGCCCAATAAGGAGCCCTCTATCTTGGCATCTAAACTAACTCTCATGATGGGGAAGGAGGAGTGAGCAAGGAAGTATGTTCCAGGCAGTGGGAACAGCATATGCAAAGGTCTAGAGGCAAAAACAAACAAACAAACAAACAAACTTAGATAGTCCTTGTAGGAAGGGAAAATAATTGTAGTTCAGTTTGACCAGAAAATATTGATTGCTGTGCTTCCAAAAGGACCTAAAGAACCAGGTAAAAGCAATTCTTTGTGAACTCTCTAACTCTGCCTCTCTCCTGAGAACCAGAGGCAACAGAAAGTTATCTGAGTGACTGTTTTCTCCTTTTTCCCAAAGATCGATCAGAACTAGTATCATTCTAGATATACAAGAAAGAAGTTAAATCATTACATAAGATGGATGCCTCAGGACATTGGGGCTTAAATCTCGCCAGGAGCCAGTCTAAAGAGCACAGACAGGGGATGGTTATCTAACATTGACAGGAATCTCAGCTCTGTCACTCTGTGACCTTGGCAAGTCACTGAACTTTCTTATACTCCCCAACGGGGATAATACACAGATCCCGTCCTAGCAGACTGATCAAAGGATTAAGTGCATTAATACAATTAAAAATCCTAAGACAGTGTCCTATCCATAGTGAATACTCAATAAAGGGTAGTTATTCATTCTAACCCTGCCTCCACTCTGTAGTCTCATGTGGCGCTGTTTAAAGCCTCCCAGTCCCATTTCACTCCATGGATGATGGATGACAGATCAGAAAGGGCACCATCAATTTTCATTGAACTAACCATGCCATCACTCATTTGACAAACATTTATTGAGCACCCACTACATCCTAGTCATTGCGCTCGGCACAAGAGA